CAATTACACGCGACGCCACAAGCGAGTCGTAAAGAGTTTCACATTTTCCTTCGAATTCATGATATGTAAAATCCTTCTCTTGACGAATGTAACCCCATAATTTAACCGATGTCTTCAGCTCCTCCAACATTCCGTATTCAACAAATTTTGCTAATTGATAGTCATTTAATTTCACTTCATCAAAGTTGATTAGATTCTGAACGTTTCGTGCACGAGTACTATAGCTTCTGAAGTCTTCGTATACGGACATGCGTAAATGTTGCGCTCTCTCATATAGTCGATCCATCCAATCGCTGGGTAATGACGCGGCGAACAAGCATTGGATGAACTCTTGCCAAGTTCCTTTGATGAAGCGGTCATACCCCCCTTCATAGAAAGCATGAGCGTTCGATTCAGCCAGGAAGCTTCCCGTCAGTGTGATACGATCACTGTCGAGAACAACACCTTTTGTTCTGAAGAACGTCTTCAAGGACGAGAACCAAGTGAGAAAACCTTCGATGTCATGATAAGGGCCCTTGAAGACCGGTCCATCAGCAGTACGAAATTTCGTCAAGTCGATGGCGCCTTCAGGCCGAGGAATATCTGGTTTCGTCTTGGTCGAGGGTCCAGTCTGCAAGGCGGCGAGTTTCAACACCATTTCTTCAAGTAGTTTCACGCGCTTGTCTCCAGTGATTTGGGACTCCAAAATTGTTCGAACCAAGTCTCCCATAGGTGGGTCTCGACTGGTCGACGCGTCGGAATTGCTCGCCATCGGTGCCAACTTGGGGAATGGAGTAATCAATGGGCGAGATGGCGGGAATTTGTCAGTGCGAATGCGTGATGGTGTTAAAGGCAAAGGTGTAGCAGTTTTAGTCAGGTCTCCTGGCAAAAATGAGTCTGGGCTGGCAGTAGAGGCTGGCGATGCGCTTCGTTTTCCGGCAAGTTTTTGTTCTCTTCGGCCGGCTTTCAAAATAGCTTCGGGGTCTGGCAAGTCGGTATTTGAACCGGGTTGGTCTGGCTGGTGTGATTGTCTAGTATTCATGCAAAATAGAAAAAGTTTTGGCAAGATTGCCGAGGTCTTCCTTGTATCAGAAGGCTTAGGTGTTGGACAGTTGATTAGACTGTGTCGATCGAATTGAGTAGAGTTAAGGTTTCAACTGAATTAAGTGTATAGTTGAATTGCGGAGTAGTCATTCGATTCAATCGAAAGCGAACTGTAGTATCCTAGCGTTTTGTGTCTCGTGGGTTTGAGAAAAAAAAAGTGTAAGGTTCCTTAGAACCTTCACCGGGAATGCACAAAGAGAGCGCCGTGGAACACACAGCGGGACAGGTTTCTAGAACCCGAGAGACTTATATTTCAAATCAACGGAATACCCAGTATAGGAGACTGGTTCCGAAGGATAAGGGGTGGGAAGTCAGTCCCGAATCGCTCTAACACTCTACAAGCATCAAAAGAAAAGAATGATAACACTAGAAAGAATATGAACGCTTACCTGGTTCCGAAGGATAAGGGGTGGGAAGTCAGTCCCGAATCGCTAAGGAACCAAGCGTAGAATTGAGAACAATAATATATATGAGAAATCATTTTAAGTATAAGTGTTAATATTTAAGTGATTGGTGAGTTATGTCTGTGTAATGACCGTAGGTCTTACACATTCATTCATGCAATAATTTATTCGACTCGACCTGTGGATCATCTTTAATGTAAATTATGTGCTGCGATCAAATTCAATGTAAATCATGTATGTACATCATGTTTTAAGGTTCAATTGAATTTCTCAATCTACGTAACGTTTTGATGGTCTCTTTCTTCATATTCTTGTCATACGGCTTTATGTAGCGTTTATACAAATTCCCGACCCATCTACCCTGAGCCTTTATAGCGTCTACTGACGATCCGTGAAAACTTAGTAAGGACGCTCCTCCGACCCTGAAGGAGTGGCCTGTTGGGCCTTCGGAACCTTTTCTTCTCCATATATCCGTCACTGTTTTCATTACTTCAGATTTTGACAGTAGCCATCTTTGACCATCTCTCACATATGAAAATAGTGGGTCATCCTCTGTGATTCTGTTCACTTTGACGTTAGTCCTCAAGGCTTTCACGGGATCTAATAAAGTTGGCTGTTTCTTCAGTACCAGGTATTGCACTTCATTTACTTTTGCTGTCTTCGCTTCATGTATTGCTAACTCTAAATTATCACTTTCTTTTACCATCTGTAAGTCTCTCAACTTTGGTACTCCTTTTCTGGTTTATCCGATACTAGTTCCCCTAGCCGGGCTAGGCCCCAAAATGCTACAAGGACGACTGCTACGATAGCTGTTGCTCTATTTCCACTGTCTTTCATCTCTTCTATTACTTGTTCTAGATGTGATACTAGGACTGGTTGTTTCTCGTTTGAGGTTTGACTACTTTCTTTTCCTTCTGACTTATGCTTTTTGTTTTCTGATTCGTACTTTTTTGATGCTCTCAGTATCACTTTCAACATGTCTTCATCTATTTTTGGAAAGTCTTGCTGGTGTATCTTGTGCCAAGTTTTTAGGCCTACCAGGTACTTCCTGATTGTATCGGATTTAATCGCATGTTCTGAAGTTTCCTCAGGTTCTTTCCTTTCGCTCGCCCATATAACGAAATCGTAAACCATCTTCTTTGTTGCTGGTAGGCATTGCTCTCGTCTCCTTCCTTCGCTCTCATTAAATTTCACAAACTTTTTAATTCCCGCATTGTATAATTTCATTGTATCTTCTGTCCATCCTCCCCCCATCACATGCTCTATATTTTTTTCTTCTGACACTGATATTACCCCTCTTGGACCTCTTTTTAACTCGTCTAGGTTCGGGGGTTTCTTGACTTTTGGATGTTTAGTCTTTCCGGTTTCTCGGTCCATATCTACCGAATTCTTGGTACAGTAAGCCGTGTAGATCACTAGGAAGGGGAACGTAGAGTTGGTTATTTAGGTTCTCGTCCGAGTTGTCTCCTCTTGAAAGAGCGTCGGCAGGATTGTCTTCTGAGGTAACTCTTCTTTCTTTTATGTTGCACTGGTAAACGGTGAGTAGATTTTGAATGATTTTCCACTCCTCATTTACCGTTCGATCTTTGGACTTTCTGTTTTGAACTACCCCTTCGGTCGTAGTGTTATCCGTATGTACGATAAACCTTTTCCCTTCTGTTTCGTATTTCTCCTTCACCATTATCAGTCCTAACCGAATGATTACTGTTTCAGCCCATGCGATCTTTCTCGCGGTTTCTGTAGGCTTCAATTGGTACGTTTCCCAACCTTCTAGAAGTCGAAACATAGCCCATGACGATCCTACTTTCAAACCAAGGCCGAAAGAAGTCGACGCATCTCCATACCATTTTACTTCAATTGGTGTCTTGTCCGGTAACATTCTAAGGTTATCAAAGGTGTGTAACGTTCTGACCCAGTGCTCCAAATCTTCTTTGACTTCTTCTGACAATCTTTTCTTGATCCAGTGATTTCCCCACGATTTCTTGTAATGATGTAAGGATCTCATATACGGTTTCATGTGCGGCAGTATGAGGATCAGGTGGCATAGTTGTCCAACAAAGCATTCGAACTCTTTAAAGGTTATCGGTTCCAAAGTCTGTAACATTTTCTTTGTTGCTTCTCTTCTGGCTTCTAGTTTTTCAGGTGGTAACCTTACGGTGTGCGTCCTTCCGTTCCATATAAATCCTACAAATTTTTGTTCTTCATTGAAATCATGATACTTTGTTTCGTTTGTCTTCACTCCTAGCCAATTGCTAAGGTCCACCACTTGCTTCATCATGACTTTGGATTCCGGCCTTTTTAGTAGCAAATTATCGTCCACCCAGCGGAATACTTTGGGTATTGACAATTTTATTTCGACCAGCTCCTTCCATGCATCTGCCGGACGTCCGAAAATTCCACATCCTGCTACCCCTCCAAACGCGACTCTAGTATCAATCCACAATCCCCCTTCGAAGTCTTTCAGGATTAAGTACGGCCACTGATCTGGATCTGTTGGGATTTGGCGGTAAGCCTTCTCCCAATCGAAAATCGCCAAAAGCCATTCTCCTGGGTGTTCCTTGAAGAATCTAACCACAGTTTGGAAATCGTCCCAAGTTGTCTTGAAGTGCTTTTTATTCACAAATGAATTGACTGATGGGATTTTCTTCTTTTTTTCCTTTTGGATACGACAGATCGTGGATTACCCTGAATGTTCCATCCCCATTGATGGTGCTACCCATTGGGCTCGAGCGGAAGAAGGGGAACCATCTTGACACTTGATCGTGAGTGAACGGTCCATATATTCGTCCTTCATGTCTTTCTTTCTCAAGCGTATTTCTTATCTTCTGTTTGACTTCTGAAGCCGATTCGTGATTGTCCGGAGTGTACCATCGTAGTTTCTTGATCCTGTGATCCGGGATCCCTTGGGGAAATCCAAACTCAAAACCATCTATCACGTCGAGGTACTTCTTCAAGATTCCAGCTGACTGAAGTTGTTTCCTCCATTCCCTCACATTCATCTCGCACCTCACCCTACAAGGCCAAGGTCTCTGGTCTTCTGGACGGTGAATCTTTCTGACATGCAGACTTCTTTTCCGTGCCTCTACTTCTTCTAGTGACTTGTCATCTACGCGGATTTTTTCTTCTCCGTGTTCGCTCTCTGAACTTGACACATATTCTTTCATCTCATAGTCGTCACTTCTCGTGCTTAGATAATCCTCATCCGCTGAAGACCATTCTTCGCTCGACAAGCTAGGGCATCTGGACTCTACGCTTGAAGAGTAGCGGCTAGTTTGGAATTGATACATATCTCTGTAATCACTGTGGCAAGGGCAAGAGGCGTAGGCATTTGTAAGTTCTCACATTCTCACGGTACGGTCTTGTTCTTTGTGTCTTTAGGTTCAGACCGACCCAGTCACTTGGTTTGGGTCAAGGAGGACAAGAATTGTGCCTTTGTGGCTTTTTATTTCGAGCATGACGAAACTTATTCTGTTTGAAACTCACTTCCGCTTAGAGCTCGTAGCGTCTCCTTTATTATGAGACTTCGAATGGTTTGAGGGCATTCTACCGCCGTTCCGATAATCATCTCTTCTATCACCTCTGTGATCGTCTCTGTTAGAATACAACCTATGTAGTCAAACCCGCCAAACTACTTACAACTTATTTAAGATCACATACTGAATTCAAAACTTAAATCTCAAACTTAAACTTAAACTCAAACCTAACCAATCCCTGTATCACATTTAAATAGTCCCATTCATCCACGATCGCCACTTTCTCCTCATCAGTTCACTGAGGAACAAAGTGGCGTGTAAGTGGATTCATACTGATTTCTTCTTCAAATCCGAATGAACAGTTGTTGATCTATTTTTATATCTATCTCTCTCTTTTCTCTTCAGACCTTTGTTGTTTTCTTTCACCTCTGTTAGGTGTGATTATTTTTTGTCTTCGGTGTTCAGAACCGTTAAGACTAACGCCCGATTACTGGCATTCTAAGGTTAGAACATCATTATATGAAATAATATCTTATCAGTTCACTGAGGAACAAAGTGGCGTACCTTTGTTGTTTTCTTTCACCTCTGTTAGGTGTGATTATTTTTCTTCTTTGGTGTTCAGAACCGTTAAGACTAACGCCCGATTACTGGCATTCTAAGGTGTGATTATTTTTTGTCTTCGGTGTTCAGAACCGTTAAGACTAACGCCCAATTACTGGCATTCTAAGAATCACCATTTGGTGACTCGAGTTTCTTTAGTTCTTCGCAGTCTCTTTGGTCATCTCGTTCGTAACGTCTTGGAGATCGTGCCCGTCTCACTGGTGACTTTGACCGGTCATCTCTTCCTGGAGACCACCTGTCTCCTCCACCTCGGAATCAGTAGCTCAACTCTCTATCATTGTCTCGGTCATGATCTGGGTAGTAATTCGAATGTCGGCCATTACCTCTTCCCCGGCCTCTGCCTCTTCTGCCGCGGAATCCTCCTCTACCATTTCCTCTTGAATTGGAGTAAGAACTTTCTTCTTTCATCGATTTTGACGAATCTTCCTTTGTTTCTTGTTTCTCGAATTCACCTCTCTCTTTTTCCGCCGTTTTAGCTAGTTTCGGAATCTGATCCTGTCTTCTTCCTCATTTTGCATATGGGTTGTCGTGGCAATCCCACTCCCGGAACTTATCGACAGTACGTCTGGCTTGTTCTTCTAGCTTTTTCTGTTGTACTGATGGATCTCCTACTTTTCCACCTTCTACTCTGATTGTCCATATCTGTCGCCTTAGCAAGATGTCGTACCGTAATGCAATCATCCAATTATCGTCATTTTCTGCTTTGATATTTTCGACGTTGCGCTTATGGCCTTCAAACTTATTGGCGAGCTTTTTGAAGTCAAACCATCGTCTTAGGTAATCTAGCATAAGATTAAAGCAAGTTATCCAGTCGCCGTACGATAGACGTAGTTCGTTTGGGTAGACCAGTCCTTCGTAAGTCTCTTCTTCCGAGTCGGAGTCGTTATCCTTCTTTTTCTTCTTTGATGCTTTCTTGCCTTCTACTTGCGCATTGGCATATAACCAGGCCTGATTGAACATCGACACCGGCACGTATCCTTTAAACTTTCGGATTCGATTGTCCCAGAACACTGTCAGTTGTGCCATGTGGTGACTAGGGACTTGACCATCCACAAACTCTATTCCGTTCTTGACAAATCCTCCTCCTCTTCCTTCCTTTTGACACTCTACTTCGTCTTCTTCGTCCGACATCGGTCTACCCTTGGGTATGTTCTTCACTGCGCTGGAAGGTTTTGCCTTTTCTGACTTTGAAGAGGTCTTCGGCAAAGGATGTACCGTTGGGTTTGTTTTTAAGGGAACTTGTGCACTAGGTTGTGCGGTTTGGGGGTTAGGATTGGCGGCTCGGGCTGTAGGTGCCTCTCTCAGTTGAGGTGCTTGCTCTGTTTCGCTTGCAAGGACTTGAATCTTCTCCGGATTATACCGTAACAGGTACGCTGTCATTAGTTCGGCATGTTTCCCGTAGTCTTCTTTGTCGAGTGCCTCCCTTATTTCTAACAGGGCAGCCGCTTGGCTTCTCGAAGGCCCAGGTGTCGGTTGTCTGGTTTCTCGTTGCTTCCCTGAAGAAAGTGTTACAGGAGGGCTTGGTAAGTATCTCTTCTTGCTTTCCCAAGTTTACTGATTGGTTTATCAAAATACAAGAAGGTCTGTTGGGTATAACGTGGTAAACGTGGAAGACTCTTCGTGCCCTAGTCCTTTATTGGGACTTTATATTATTGCGTTTGGGGCCTTCCCACCGGTATAGGGTGAGGGTTTTAATTGTCATATTTTGACTAGCCTTTATAGGGCCTCTGACTCTGTTTTACTTTTGTCAGGTTACAGCGTGTCTTCGCGTGGCTATGAAGAATATGAAGCTTGCTTCGCGCGTATATGAAGATTACGAATTGGGATAAGGTTGCCCTGTCTGCTAATAGCATAACTTCAAGAGAAACCACAGCAGCTCATACTCCAAAGGGAAAGGGAAAGAATAATGGAGAAAGGTATAGGATAGTTTTAAATTTTGGGTTTCTTATCTCACCTTTTCTCATTGAAGGGCTGGATACTAATCCGGTGAGTAACTTCCTTCCTTCCTTAGGACTACTTTCCGGCTCTCTCTTTACCTCCTTCATTTTCACCCATGAGGTTTCTTCATCACTTGACTCTTCTGGATGTTGATAACTTCCTACGTATTCTAACGAGCTATCACTTTCTAGATCTTGTTGATCAATTGTTCGGTTTGCTTCATTAGTTGTGTTTTGGCTTTGCCCGGTAGGTGGATTTTCCGCTATCGTAGTCAGTCCTGTCAAAGTAGTCTGGTCGGTGTTCAATGAGTTCGTCATTGGTTCTTCTTGTTGACCGTCCTTCTTGTTTCTACCTTGTTGATTTCCTGTCTTCTGACCTTCCTTTTGATTTCCACTTCCACCATAGCCTTTCACTATAATCCGTTTGGGATTCTGTTCTATAACTGGTTGCATCTTCTCATGTTTCTTCTTGCTCATCTGTTTCTCTTGTTGCTGTTGATTTTCTGGCGGAGCTGTCGGTTGTCTACTGAAGGCTCTTAACTTCTTTCTCGGGTCGTCGGTTTCCGGAAAAAGCTTGTTGTTGCTGTTTGACGCCATTTGATCTACTCTGTTTTGCTTTGTTTCTTCGTCTTCTAGTTTGAAATAAATGAATTTTATGCCGTTTGAATTGTCGAAATTCTGAGTGTGATCAAATCGAGTCTATGAGCTACAAGGTTTGAGTCGCGTACTGAGAAGCTTGAAGATTTTCCTGTATTGGGAACTCAAGCTTCTCTTGGTTCGAATACATAACGGTTATGTCCTTATGTATTCTGTACGCTTTCACTCACACCTTTCGCTCATACTCCACCCCGTAGACAAGTGTCCAAACTGTGTGCCTTGTCTGAACTCACCATCAATCCGGCGGCAGTTTCTAATGCCTCTTCGACACTGATTGTTTCTTTTTCAAAGGGGTAGCTTAAGTGAGATCGTTTGTGTATTGATACAGATATATCAAGCTCGTGTTCTCCAAAGGTCTGCTTTGACATGTCTTCACCAACTGGTACCACCATATTTTCTGTAGTCATGCCAGCAAAGGCAGCTAATTCTTGTGCCCGAGATTCTGCAACCCCAAGAAGCTCGTGTATGTCGTCGTTGGTTGGATACTGACTGAGAATAAAACTATAATCGTGTGTGTTGTCATATGAGAAATCATCATCATAGCCTATTTTGAATCCCTGATCAGCTTCATCAAAGATCATGATACAAGAAGATCTGATGAAATACTTGCCTGAATGCAGATTCTCACTGCTGGGCAGTGTGATATGCCCACTCATGACACTCTTTATGACAGCAAATATCTTTGGCATCATCTGCCTTGCGTCCAATACAGTGAAAGTAGGTGAAATCACTCGCATCCAACCAAATATATGCTCACAGCATTCAGTTCCATGTTTCCACGGCATTAATGGGTGAGTAGGGTATCGGTCGCGGTGAGAAATGATGAGTCCCAAGAGACTTTCGCCAAGCTGTTCAAAAATTCGGATGCTTTGATGTGAGATACAGTTGGAGGCTAGATTCATGAAGCTTCCAGGTTCCTTCTGACGTCTAAGTAGATATGCCTTCCACTTGCGAACAAAAAAGACAGCAGTGTAACATGAAACAATTCTATCTCGGTGTGGCATGGTCTGATTCAACCAAGAATCAACAAGCTCTCCAAATATGTAGAGGTACAATACTAGACCAATGCATTCTGGAACTGCACAAGCAGCCTTGAAAGTATGCTCATTGAAGGTTCGGTAAGCACGGCCATCATCTTGCTTGTCTGTGTTTAATACATCCTTGTAGCCCAGCGGGCACTCTTCAGTTTTAAGTAAGATGAGAAGCTGGTCGAGATTAACATTGAAACGTCCAAATGCTAAGAAACGAGCCCCAGAAAGTAGTTGGTTTGAAGCTGTCTTCCGAGCATGCTTAGGATCTTGCACTAATACAACCGGACGTTTGGAGGCCCCTAGAAGTGGAACATGTATTTCGACTTTATGATTGGGAGCTGAGAACTCCAAATATTCTGTGGCCGAATCAACAAGTAGCTCTTGTGCTAAAACTTCTGATGCAGCGCCATCAGATCCTAATGAGATGAGTGGAATTCCAACGGTGTCAAGTAGATTGATGAACTCGAGGTGCTGAGCCTTGATGTCTTCGGCGGACTCGTCCTCGCGACTAGATATTAAAGCTACCACAAAGGTAGGGACATTTGGAAGTGGGACTTGTAATGTGTATGCTCGAATCTAAGAAGCAAGTTGGGTTTTTAGAGATTGTACAATGAAAGATACAAATGACGGAAGGCTGACCTTTTTGCACAGATGATCTCCTTCAGCTGCTTCTTCTACTAAATTTTTCAGGTGTTCAAGATCAACAACCTCAATATCGCCGCCTTCAAGACCCACCAAGCAGCCATCATTGTAACGCAGAGCCTTCACGCATACTGTCTGGTCTGTCCCGGCTGAGAGTGGCCCACTGTATCCGTATCGCTCAAGCCAAGTGACGACAGGGAGAACATTGTTAATGTGAAATTTGTCCAGCATCCGTGCACCAATACGCTGACGTAGTAACCGGAAGCCGCGAGATGAGCGTCCACAGAGATTGGCCCGAAATAGTTCAAGAGCCCCTTTGGAGTATGCGCCAGCAGTTGTAAGCATATTATCAAGGTACTCATTGAAAGGCATTCCACGTGTGCTTCGGCCGTGGGATTCCCGTTCAGCACGAATACTAACACCCTCTGCTACCCCTCGAAACACTGGCAGATCCTTGAATAGTCCAGCCCGGGCATGCACAGAGAACATTGTCCAAAATTCTAGGTCGCCAGCTCGTGTTGCTCGTTCAAGGGACTGGAATAACATTCTTAACTCGGTATATTTTAAAAGAAGGTCATGAAATGAACCCCCATTCATGAACATTTGCGAAACAAATCTGAGAGTATCTTCTGTTGCGTAGCCACGACTAATTGCTTTGCTCAATGATGGTAACTTTTTGATCTGCTCGCAAGGGTTGCAGACCTCGACGGCCCCGGAATCGAGAGTCAAAACTCTTTGTGTACATTTGGTCGAATGAATTGAACCCTGATGTCCATCGCGTCTAATGATCCATGTCGATAGCGACAAAAGCTCTTCTTGCAGCTGATTTTTCTGGCTATCTGACAGAGCGCTCTCTAGTGAGGTGTTGAACAGTCGGAGACTAACAGTAAATCTTGGTGGGTATCCATGATACGCCGTGCAAGAGTGCTTGATACAAGTCGATATAGGTTGATGACCTGGTCGCCGCCATGTCTCATCAGTCAGGCCTGCACACCGGACCTCGAAAATCTGTGGCTGATCAGCCAAACCGTTCAAGGTTGTTGGTCGATCTACAGCCCGGCGAAGTCTTGCTGTCGCTTCCTTACAAATTTCTATTGGGAGATGATAAAAACAAATGGACAAGAATGTTGGTATTATTGAAGCGACAATGAAGGAAAATCTAGAAAAGCTAGACAAAGTCGATCTCATGCTCTATCAACTGATCACCTACCCGAGTCCCAATGTGATTTGGCATCCTGAATCCTGCCTCGCATCATCTTGACCAGTTTTCCGCAGTGGCATTGTAACCGTTGGTCGGGTCCATCCTTGTTAAAGACACATTCTGGGCAGATTTGACCATCGTCTGTTTTCAAAGGGCAAGCTCCTCGCTTTTTTGCATCTTTCTTGGCAGCTCGCTCAGCAGACAATTTTTCTTTGGCAGTGCGAGGGCGAGGAGTTTGCGATGTTGAAACGGTAGAGGTTCCATGTGCCGGTGTTGACATCGTTCGATTCAAGCGCGAGGAATGTACTGGTTAACAAGAAAGTAAGAATATGGGCATGCCTTTCAGATAGTTTTAATCCCTTGTCAAGCTAGCTTTCTCCAGCCTCTACTCCTCTAGTGGGATGAACTTTAGCATTTCGCATGGCCTCGCTCTCCAGAGTCCAAGTTGCAGCTGCCATTACACAATGTACAAGCCTGTACAAGCCTTTACAAGCACCTGTCAAATGCTGGAAAGGTAGGCAATAAAGGTGATAACGGACATAAGATTTGGGCAGAATCCATGTGAGCTTTGTATAAACCCATGAAGCGCAACCCCGCGGCAGCTCAAAAGATATATTTTGAGTAGACTACCCCTTATATGAGCATACCGGGGTCCTCATAGACCCCGATCATCATGCTAGTTTTAATATTGGACTCTTGTTTTGTCCTTTTCTTTAACCTCAAATTCAATGCTACGTTACACATGTAGAGCATATAACCAACTGTCAAAATCGGGAAATACCTACGCGTTTCAAGGCGAGAAAGAAATTCATCAATGTGGTGGCTGTTTGGTGAGTGGTAAATCACGCCGTGGTACTGAAGTATGTGCTGATCCACGGTGATGTGTGTTTCATACAGGTTGAGTTGTATTCTGGTGAAGAAGGAGGTAGCTTTGTACCCACGTAAGTCAATTCCAGTTGATCACCAGGCAATATCTTATAAGCGTGTCCTCACCCAGCGTTCACATCATCTCCAATTAAATCAGCCCTGTAGCGAGCGTAGAAGCGGTCTACAAGTTTCTCCTCAATCAATGTCACGGAGTGAGTTTATAGTTTATCACGTATATCAAACAATCAATACGTCCCAAAACTTGAGCCCTGACATCATGGCTTATCAGATCGATAGAGCTTGGATCCCTGTTCAAGGGCAAAAAGAGCTCAGGTCAAAGATGTTGATAGACAGTACGAATGTCACAACATCATGTTAATCGAACTTATAGCCAACGGTAGCTTTCTTAGAGGCTCGCCTGCGATCAGGATGTAAGAACTCCGCCTATCACGTACTGCGAATACTTGTTCTTTTTTGTTTGTATATGCCTGTCTGAATACGATGATGCATATGGCAGCTGTGGCTCTCATGCCAGTTTCTTTCACATATTACAACTCTATACAACTGGTGGTGTTCGCAGACAATTGTCATCATGGATTCTGACTACATACTTGTCGGACGGTCTCTTCTGGCCGGGAGCTTCTGAATCACATCAATTGATGGTCTTTGACTAAAGTTGTCTGAATCTGAGTACGTCAACGACGATTTCACTATTAGTTTTCCAATTCCTTCCTTTGCCTTTGCCCATAGAACCGTAGGAAAGACTTCTTGGTAAGCTCTTATTCGCCTGCAAATTGAAATTCCTTTGGCGACCTATGTATCTCAAAAACTATGGAGCAAAAACTATGCAGACTTGATCGGCATGAAATAGGGCTCATTGTTATGCAGAATAACTCGCTGGATAAGCATATTTTGTTAGATTTTAGCCGGCAAGTGATTAGTTATCTCTAAACTATCAATTCCTACAATCATATCTACCAATCATTCTTGATGCTAGTAAAGATTTATATGGACAGTCTTGTCATTGAGTCGTCCATACATCTCCCTCAAGCATTATGTTTGGGTGATGAATGTCAAAGTGTGATCATTCATCTATAAGAAATCTCCAAACGCCATTACTCCAAAGGCTTCAGCATCCTCTTACAAAAGTCAAGCCATATCACTATGTAGTTTCTCAAGCTACCCACGAGTACAGCCGTTGTGAGAACTAACGGTAACTTTTTTTATTTTGTGTTGTGTCGAGATTTAGTTCAAAACTGGCAAAAACTAGAAAAAAATCTTTTTGGACCATGAGTACCGTGAGATAGAAGCATATTGCTGGGGCCAAAACAAGGTTTAGGCCTGTGAGATCGAAAAAAACTGAGTTTTGGACCAAATATTAAACTCTAGTTAAAACTTGGCGACGCCCATCACCTCAAAACTTACCAATAGTTCTCACAATGGCTGTATCTCATCTTTCACTCAAGTTGTGCACTTTACATGTATCCCTCATAGGAAGGTACTTCAAATGAATCAATTAGCAAATGGTCATCTCACAAGTTAAGAACTACCAAATATATACCTCCTCCTGATCTCACAACTCAACTCAATACAAACAAAACCAACTTCACACAATGATTCAAAGCAAGAACCCATCAAAAAAGAAAACCACAATCCAAACTTCAGAGCAAAACATTTCCGGTCTTTTTCTTCTCCAAAGGTTTACCACAAATCCAACAACCTACATCATCTTCAGACATTGAGGTAACAGTTTGTTCAAATTCAGACTTGATCATACCTTTTCTCATCCTACCTTCTACTAATGCTGCCATCGTTGTTTCTTTTTCAAATGCACACCAAGCATGGAATGTGTCTACAAAAAACATGACTGAGGTTTCATTCAATAATTGTGTTTCTCCAACTGATTCATCTTACTATAATCCACACTATTCACACTCCTGCACGGTTGTGCGATGTGAAGAAAGAAAAAATTCAAGCTAAGTATGATATTCAAGCTTTTCATTATAACAAGGAAAACACCTGGATAAATGTAGACAATCATCCACCAGAATTGATCAACACTCTTCAATAAATGAGATCTGAGCAACGCATCCCAAAATCAGCCACTGCAAAGATCCAGAAATGATCAAGAAGGTAGTAGAAAAGTAAAACAAAAAGACCTGTAAATTAAAATCATGAAGCATTTTGATGATGGATTTTTTCAAACCTTCAATCTCCAATCTGTTTTGGATTCCTTGAATCAATATAATTGGATCAATCTCAGATCCAACAGTGTCTAAAAGACCTCTGATCAAAGCTAAATATTCTTTTTCCACAAAGACCAACAATGTTCAGTCAATTATCACAACTATGAATTGGAATTCAATAGCTCAATACCTGGTCTACTTGAGGGGCTTTGTTAAGCTTAACAAAAATCCAGGAAACCAGAGCAATACCAGAACCACTCCGCAATGCACTGAAATTTGACCTATTTTCAGTGCGATGCGGAGTTTGAGCTATCCAACACAGCGCAATTCAATTGCTACCCGCTATGGAAAATTATCTCACAAGGTATCGGAGCAAGAAAATTGCTCCGATATCCGCCATATAGTGCACTATAGAGGCAACCGCTATATAGCGCGCTAAACTGCTAAGGTAGTGCACTATTGCACTATATGGCGCAAGTTGAGGCAAACAAAAAACAAAAGTTTATTTGTAAATCTATGTGTACTTATCCACACCTGTGGCTACTAGACCCCTGGAAAAGTACCCGAGGAAAATCAAGTATTTTCTCTCGGCTTCACACCGTGCTCCCCCTGTAAGACTCCAAGACCCTCAAGACAGGTCTTGTGGCTTTTTTTCGGACTAAGGTACAGTTGTTCTCAGAAATGTTGGAAAAATCCAACATCTTGAGCTGAGGTCGTGGTCCCGAGGAGGTGACTTTTTCATGACATGTGTCACGGAAAAGTCATGGCAGCTGTCGAGTGGAGATCAGTGTCCCTTTCACCAACCTCAACTCCCTTGTGTCCTCTCCATGCCATCCTTCCTCTGATCCTCAGCTCGTGTTACAATCCCTTAACCATGAAATCATATGTTTTCACCATTTTTCTGAAGAGATTGGTCCGTTAGCCTGGCCATTGGCAAGATAGGTGTGTGGTCATCGAGGTATGATGGAAAGTAAACAAATTTTCATCTTGAGATACCTGTCAAAATCAAAGTTTTTGTCAGTGTTTGTATCTGCGTGTCACTGCTCAGCGCACGGACCCCGAGCTCAGCTCGAGATTTTGCATTTTTCCAACATTTCTGAGAACGACTGTATGAGTGGTACAAAAACTTTGTTTGGTGAGTTTCTTGAACCAATGGTTATCAGACTTCAATTACAGAGTGAGATGGCTTCCAAGAAGTATCTGGGATGGTTAGTCCTAAGAATCTCTAAGGAGCTATCGTAAATGTGGAGCTGTCATGTATATAAAGAATGAAAGGTTAACATTTATGTATATGGAATGCCAAAGATGATAGCTGACATATAGGATTAGCACAGGGAAAACGAGATTATTTAGCGCTCTGTATACGTACGAAGCCACACATTCGGTCTGCTTGACAACCTGCCTTAGTAGCTCAGTGGTAGAGCGTTTGCCTAGTATGGCAGCAAAAGGTCCAGTGTTCGACTCACTGTTGAGGCATTTCTTTTTACCTTTTGCCCACTTTAGAAGTCACTATTTTGCTTCAATGACGCTGGGTGCTTGATGGTATCTTCAGGATAACTCAACATTGGACAGTGACAAGAATAAGTTTTGATCCGTAACTCAATACCAATTGGACGCAATGGAGAAAATAAACATGTGTACTCCGAATCATTTCGTCATGCAATTCCTAAAACAAGATTAATCGAAAACAAAACAAAAATAGATTTCCTATCACAATGATCCTATGACCAAACTTTCAAAGGATATAAACAATTTACATACAAACCCAAGCTCAACCAACCCCAATCAACTTGTTCAAACTCATTAACCCCCAAAAGGAACATATATATATTGATTTGTTTATATTGTAGTTGCGTAGGATATCTCATATTGAAATCAGAAACGATATACTGAGTTGACAAAGACAATTATGTATACAGTAGAAGAATATAATACATCAACAAAGAGATTGTCATAGACAGTTGAGCAATGATTCACATATTTATTAGTGCAAGATGAATCTCAATCCTGAGTTCACATTGTTCACTATATCCCATCAAAAAAGATACATCTCATCAATACTTGCAACATAGCATCAAAAGCCGAGTAGGATTCTCAATACTCACCCAGAATGGACACCATCCAGTAAAGCATTGTGCCAGGTTCTCGGCTGATACAGCTTTTTGAATCAACTTATTGACTTGATCAGCGACACTCAACTCTTCGTTAGGCTTGAAATCCCGGCCTGATAACCACACGCCACAAAGAAATCATAGTCATATCATCAATCACCTTATCTTTCACGACGAGAAAGGCGTGTGCGATGTAAGAGGAATCATCTAACTTACCTGTTAGTTTTTGCTCTACTCGGTTGACGACCATTAGGGCTTTATCATTCAATACTTCGGCCTGAACAGTATCATACAGATTGGTTTCCACTTCTCTTGGCCTTCGCATCCGTGGCCCACCCTCTACACCATATCAAAATCGATGGTTAACATCAATCAATAGGCTTCAAGGAAGAAGATTTGATCAAGAAACATCTGAAAGCTCGTACCTGTGTTAGCACCACCCTCTCGTTCATCTAATTGTCGACCACCCTTGACCAATCTCCAATTGATCAATGGATCATGTACAAAAGCCTCCAGTACAGCCATAATACTCTCCTTATTTGATCTCATCACTCTCATTGTGTTCTCACTTGTGATTCGGTAAGTACCTTCAACCCCACTGATTTCCATCGCTTGTACTAACATTCGAGTCAACCTAAACGGTATCCTTTCGGGCCATTTCTACTCAAAGATTGCAATACCGATCATGAAGGGCTGTCAGTCAATGAAGATCAAACGTGAATCAAAATCTAGGGGAAACAGACTTCTCGTGTCATCGCCACTTCGAAACAATCACCAAAATCGACATGAATGATCATCCCTGTAAGTCTATCCAGCAACAGATTCGAAGGATGTCGATCTCCAAGCCCAAGTACGTCTATCATCACAATCATGATCAGTTATCAAAGGACCTTCAAATCACAAAAAGGCAGTTGTGCTCACGTCCCACCATCGACATTACAGCCAATGATCGTGAATAATTGATCCGACGATCCAACCAAGCTTCTGAATTTCGACTCTTTAGCCATAACACTCGATAAAGATCTTGACCAGTGGTATTATCCATCGCATACTCAAATACTTCAACTTTCTGAGTCAAACATAGCCGTTCATGATCAATCGCCATCTGTTGCATCAGTCTAGCTTCTATATTGAGAAGGATTTTACGTCCCTCTCGATAACTCCTGTCAAGCGGCACGAAAAGAGATACACGTTTTGAGTAAAAAGCCAATGAAGTCCAAATTGTACAAACGATTGACTCAACTTGATCAACACATGTAACGTATCTGTATTCTCAATCCAAGCTAGTAAACCAGAATTAGGAGCCAAGGGAATCACAGCATATCGACGGATATTCAAATGACGCTTGAACGTCTCGGGGTCTTTTGATAAAAGGGTATTGATCAATCCAAACAGTTGCATCACACGCTCATCCTGACGTAGATCTTCATGACCTTTCAATAAGAACCTATAACATCGTCCCTCGCTACCGACGATTGATAACTCTCTTGGTCTTTGTTTGGAGCCCATGATCTTACATATCGGTGCAATGTGTGATATTGTGATGACCGGTTTTCCGCTTCGATATGTACCTATGTGATATGGGCCACATAAATAACGTAGGCTACGTCGAGAAGTTGGGTTACACCTTACTGACCTGGTACAGCGATCTCCAGATCCCGAGCCTCCAAAAGTGGTGGGGATACAGTTTGCATATCCAACATATGCGTTGCTGAAAGCAATTTGGATATTCTTCGGAAGACCTTCATGAACCAGACGGTAGGAGGAATGGTGAGCAAAGCATTTCCTCATGATCAACTGATCCAATACATTCAACACTTACCTGATAGTACAGATCCCAAGCTTGATTGAGATCATTCACATCACCGCGTTCACGATAACGCCTACAACACGCTCGAGCTTCCATCAAATCATGCCCATAGGTTGCTGCAAAATGAGACTCGCGAATGGTTTCGGGACCCTAGTGTTTAGAAATATAAAATTAGGATCTCACCGTCAAGAGTCGTGCACCATTTCAAAAACCGACCTTTTCCAACATATCATGCAATGGCTCTAATGTAGCAAACATAGCATCGATGTTGTGATCACCGTAGAATAGCCTCGAAGCTTCTTCTAGTCCTTCAGACCACATCTCAGGCCAAAGAATAGCCGCACGTACGAGCTCGCTACTGACAAGAAGTGCCTAAGATGAATGTTGAAACGTCAACTCAAGAGAGTCATGAATATCCAAGATGTTGATTATGGAGAAACGCCTTACCTGTTCGATGAGAAGTGCACTATGCATCTTCATCTTAGCGATGATGTCAATTGCTGCCCTACGTCTTGGTTCATTGGGGTATTTAGAAGCCACTACAAGAGGGTATACCAATGCTTGAGGGTGAGCTTTACCAACTTCGCAAAGAATGTTGTGAATAAGCCGTCGAACGTTTGCACTTGGTGCGTGTATTCGAGCGATCAACTAAATCATACACAAAAAAGCATTAGAATAGACTGCTAAGATTGATCAAAAGAAGTTGAGAGCATACCTGCGGCACCACCTCAAGCCATGTATCGATGGACACATTTCCAAATCCATCTTGAATAGCATTGGCCACTACTTGGTGATCACCATACTTGAACCAGATCCCCAACAAACGTAGGATGTCTTGAAGAGCATTGCCAGGCGAGAGCGCAATTGACTTGAAAAATGCTGGATAATTGAATCCAGAGAAGTCAGTCATCGATGAACGAAATACGATATGTTTATATGACTTTGACCTACCATGGACAGCAGGTACGAGATGATACTGCACAATCTCGACCGGTACCGAACTAGCATCCTGATTCCGTTCATAATGCGAAGCAACCTTTGAATTAGCCAAGGCCCACGCGTGCCAAGCTTTGTACCACTCCGGATCAAGCTCTGAAGATAGCTTATAAGATTCGAGGATGTCGACCACGGCGGACTACAAGTTCACAAATGAATCATCAATGAGGGTCTACGATGGATGTCAGTGGGGGAAACAATCGACTCACCGAACTCCAATCTTCTTGTAATTGTGATTGCCATTCACCCAACTTGAGGTGACATCTCGACAACAATCGCTTATGTTCGATCATTCTAGTCTGTTGCTCAAAGTCATCATTTCCACTTTGTGCCATAGCACGATTATGATCAAATACGTCTTCACCTAATCGGAAGGTGAAGTCCTTCAGATACATCAAGCTGTCTTGTTTAGCACCTGATCCCCACATGTATTTGATATGCGAGTAGATCACAAGCGGTGGACCTCGCTAAACAAAATACAGACACGGAATAGGTTCAGAACTAAATTGAATCACAAAACCTAATCTCAAAACAGACTCACAGATTCCAATCCATTACTCGTATCTTCACTCATCAATGAATTCAATGTCTTCTCCGCCAATCCTAATCGGCCCGACTTACGACAAAGACCCGCAAACTTGATCCACATCCCAACATCCTCTCTAGGTGTTAAAACTAATGCTCGAACTTTGAGAATTCGTTGCCAAACTTCAACATCCCTTTGACAACCTTTGAGTCGTTTCATCCAAGTTTGTTGAATTTGTAACTGTTTGGTTGGGTCGTCGTCTTTGCACTCTTTATAAGCAATGATCTCTTCCAACTCCGAAAGCATCTGGACTCGCACCACCAAGCTTCGTGAAGCGCATGGAAGAACAGTGTCAGATCAGAGGCAAGATGAACAGAAGCGTGTCTGTGTAATTCGTCGTATGAAAACTTACACATATGCTCTACTGTAACTTTCACCGAGTAAGGTAGACACTTCAGTGTCCAAGGTATCACGGGCTTTATTGATGAGTCGTTGTGCTACTGAATGTTGTCCTCGGTGAATCGACAAAATAGACTTGAACCAAGCTTTTTCTGCCGAGTCCGACTTGAGTACGTTGATATAATTATCCATGTTATCCCATTGTGCTAGACCCCATGCAGCAGCTGCAGCCAAAGGTGCCATCGTTCGTTTAATCTCATTACTCGAGTTTTCCCAATGCTCCTGTGCCATCTCTGACAGTGATTCCCATTCACCTAGAGCATGTAAGCATCGCATCCCACCCAAGATCGAGTCAATTGATTTCGGATCTTCTTCAAGTCGTCGAGTATAACTATTTAGAGCGTCTTCCCATCGCTCAAGCTCTTCAAACCATTCTTCCCTAATCTCCATCCCAAACCGCTGTTGGGCCATTGTCAAGACACCTTGTGCCGAATCAGGCTGTTGTAGATGTTGATTGATGAGAATCAAGCTGTCAAGAGTGTCAGCTGTCGGTTCCGTGAAAGCCTCGATCTCCTTGTAATGTAGCGCTTTGGCAAACGCGTGGCACTTTTGCGCATACATCCCCAACGTGCTGATACGAATGGGTAGAACCTTCTCGTCATGCTCCATGAACTCCGCGAGATTGAGCAGAGTCTGAGTGATCTCGGGGGGAATGGTAGGGGACGATAGAGCGGTTTGGATGGCATTCACTAGCTCCTCCTAAAAGTTTCACCCGGGAGACAAAGCTGAATATCAGAACGCTGTACATCATTCAATGGGACAGAAACACCGACCTGGTATTGTGAGTATAGCTCAGTCCAACATGACACAAATGCCGCATTAAATAACTCTCTCGCAAGTGGATGATAGACCCCAGACAGATTGGCACATGCCCTCAAGCTATGACTTGGTGACGATTGCAAAAGCTGTACTGATAGTCTCTTGATCCATTCCTTCCAATCTTCAGCTTTTGGCTTCTTGACGGTTGATGTTTCCCAGGCGGATTTGAGGTTTTGTTGATTGACCTGGAATTTATTCTGCCCTGCATCTGCTGCAATCACGGACTCGTCACTGGGGATCTGGGAAGGCTCCGTGAAACTAGGATCTGGCAATGCTTCGCCCTTCAAAAGCTTGACGACCAGTGACTCATAGAGTGGATGTGTGTATCGAGCTTGAACCAAAGCCTAAGAATTTGAGGCAAAGCTTAATTGATCTTCAGAAAGATAGTCATGGGGCATGGTTGGTAAACACGTCGAGCAAAAGAAGTCTTACGTACATGGTTGATAGTCGACAGGAATATGACAAAGTCCGGGCCTATTTGGATCATCACGCTGCTGACTGCATCCATCGCAGCCGCCCGTAACTCATTATTCCCAACATTGATCACTCGTATGAGTGGATGAATGACTCTTGAAACCTGATCGATTAAATTGATCTTCTTACTGAGCATATTCAAAGTGACAATTGCCGTTTTGCGTAGACTCAGAGGTAATTCGGGTTTTTCAATCGTCTTAATTAAACACGGCAGTACAAGTTGAACGTAGTCTTCCAAATTATTTCCAAAGGTTTGAAAAGCCTTCAAGATGTGATGCAAGGTCTGGTATTTCTTCTCTAAATAATTGGACGCTGATTCCGATGCAGGTCCGACCGTACCTGCCAATGCGATAGAGCTCATGATACTTCCTGTATTACTGTAGTCAAACGAATCGATCAGAAGTGGAAGCAGAGTAGGTAGATATGTTCTAAATTCACTCTCAAGAGCAATAGCGATTGAATCAATCAGTTCAACAATCACGGTTTGCAAAGTAGATCCACTGGGCCGGGTGACGGTCACAATTCCATTTTCGTTGACAACCACGGTACCAGCGCCGCTGATACCATTAGCTACAGCTGCACTACTAACGTTGAGGCTGCTATTACTTGTACCAACAGTGGCAGTCGCCCCGATCAAGGCACTTGCCGTAGTAGTGGTGGTGGTATTCAAGTGCCAAAAGTCGTGGATCAATGACATGATGTCCGGTAAATGTGAACGGATATGATGCTTGACCATATGAATGAGGTAACCAAGTTGCTGGAAGTAGTATTCCTGAAGGGCAACGCTACAGAGTCGCATAGCACTCAAATAAGCAGGTATCACTTTGGGTAAAAAGCCTACACACTTTAAACGTAATGATCGAAAGATGTAAATGATGGCTTGTACAACAGCGGCATGATGGTGGGCTAAGCTGGAATTGCTGAGAATCGAGAGGAGAGCTGAGAATGCAACAGTGGGGTAGTAGTGCTCATTCGAAGAGTTGATTTGATCGGGATGGGAGGGATCCGTGAGAATAGGTGCAGCATCAACAGGGGAGCCGATTCCGAGACCACTGGCCCCGAGCTGTTCAACATCACTGTTATTTCGATATGGATCCAGAGCGCCTAGGATGCCCAAGACTCGCAGGGCTTCCCTACGGACATGACTCGAACCCTCGCTCTTCAAAATGGATGTGATGATAGGAAGTAAGGTCGGTTGATCGAAATAGGGATCAATAACATAACCCGTATTTGAGCAAAGCTGTCCTAAAGTTCTGAGGGCTGCTTCTCGTTTCCCAGAAGATGAGAGGTCGCGTAGTGTGTCCATAATGAGTTCCATGATAGTGGGAGACTGGGTAATGACATCCGACCCTCCGACACGGGCTAACTCTCCAAGTGCAATCATGATCGCAGAAGCGACCGCTGGATTGGGATCTCGAGCCTTGGGTAACAGGACCTTTAGGATTGGCGCAACGTACGGTTTTGTGAGGCTCTTTGAGCAACTGATCAGATGTGCTAAAAGTGTCGAGCTTTCCTCTTTCCTTCGAATATCATTCGAATATTCTAAATCAGTCAAGAGTAGGATGAGAGTTTTACGTAGGTTGGGCATGATATAAGCTGGATTTCGCTTTGTCAATCTACCAATCGTTTTGATCGCCGATTCACGAATCACGTGTACCTCGTCATTCATAGCAATAAAAAGCTGTTTGATATTGTTCGGTTGGGCCAAAAAACGATCAAACTTCTGCTCCAATGCCTGTAAGGTTGACTGTCTAATCGAAGGTACTGGGTCCGCAATGACCACTGATAATAATTTCGTAAGTACATCTGAGACTAGCTTGAAGGCATGCGCAGATGTTTGGTGAATGATTGGATCCCGAGCAAGTAGTTGAGCGCAGGCCGCCGACGCGGCTTGTCGAACATCTGCAGATTCATCGTCCACGTATCGGATCACAATATCTCTGACAAACTCGTTCAATCGATGGCCTTGGAAAGGGAAGGAACCTAACGTGTTCAGAGCCAGTGTTACTGTAGGTCGGTCTGGTTCAATAGCCTGTAACACAAGTTTTCAACCATGTGAGCAAAATCCTTTGAAAGTTCAACGAGAGCGATCACGTACGCTAAGATCAGTTACGTTCGTAGCCCTCCAGTTCATCGGTGTTCCAGGCGGCTTGAATTTCTCGCCCGAAAGTGTGAGGGCGATCAAGTCTAACAACTTATCTATATTGCCCCAATCAATCATGTTAGAGACCGTATGATGAGGTAAAAAAAGTTAACGCATGTATCAAACCTTGTATGATTGGCAAAAGAGGCGGTATATGATGGGCCAAGTCCACTAAGGCTTCTCTCAAAGCATCAGTCAGTCCGTTGGCAAACATCAATTCCAACAATTCGTGCATATGTTTTGTCATGGCTTGTCCAACGGCGGATGCACACATACTGATACACTGAAAGATGGAACCCTCTGAAGGACTATTCTTCTTTCCTCGGTTCACAAGAGCTTCTTTGATTGAGGCCAAGATTGCCTCTAGATACAATTGCATGTGATGCTTGACTGCCAAAGCTACATGACCAATCGCATAAAATGAAGTCGTCCGATCTCGATCTTTGCGCAATTGTTCGATCAAATAAACCATACATTTATGGAGATAGGAAGAAGTGAATTCAGTGACGTTGTAAGATGCTAGAGTTGGGATCAGTTCCACCACTGCCCGTCGGACCAACGCCTCTCGATGTTCGCGGTAAGTCAAAACTTGATCACAGACTTCTTGATACCGCGATCGCATGAACTGTCCAGGTTGATTTTCTCAATGCATGCCACTGTATATTCAAAGTTGAAGATCCTACTCACAGGTCCAGCCTCGACGACCAACTCTTTTACTCCTAGCAGACTGCCATGTATGGAGTCGGATGTTCCTTGCTTGAAGCCCTTTTGAACTTGTTGTAAGACCATAAGATAGCACTCATCCCGTGTTGTACTTTCGCGAGATGAAGCGCAATAAAGTAATCCAGCCAGAGCGTCAGATGAGATCTCCCGAATGGCTACTTTTGGGTCACGCATTGCCGTCCAAAGGTTATCTAGCAAATCAGGCAAAGCATCGTATATCACACTGCTAGCGACACCTCGGACTAAGCATCGAAGCAGTAAGACAGCTGCATAACGTCGTTCTTCTTTTCGTTCTCCTTGTAGCCATTCGATGACCCGAACCAATTGTTTGCGAATAATATCAAGCATCAGACTTCCACCCTTGGTACATAACCGAGCTAAACAAACAAATAGCACAAGACCGAGCCAAGAAGATGGTTAGTTTTGTTTTGTCCTTTTTTAATATGTGATAGAAGATCAGTAGAGCGATCTAATTGAGCTGAGGCGTTGAAGAACGTGCCGAAAATCTTGGCTGCGTAGGTCATCACTAACGGATCAGCGCACGGAAGCACTTTTTGAACATAGGATACTAGCTTATAGGCTCTTGAGGTGTCATCTCCCATGATATCAATGAGTCTATCTATAAATTTCAATCGTTCAAAAGATGAAAGCAAAAGATGAAAGCATAAGTAATGATGACTTTAGGCTTGATGATTGATATTACGGAAGTACCCATGGCTTGAAGTGCCCCTAATTTTTCGTTCATATCATTTGAGGAGACTGCGATTTGAATTCTCCCGCTAACTTCATTGTAGACCTTTGTAAAAGAATCTCCGGTAACACCTCTTGAGGAGGTAAGGACCTAATAGAAGAGAGATTTGAAGTAATCAACGATTTCATCCGAATCAGTTCCCAGTTTGATGGTGTTGAGTAATGACCGTGGCATACGAATTGCTGAACCTCGTAAGCAGCTCTAGAACGAGTCTCATCGGATCTGATCAAGAATAGAACAGGATGATTAGATTATATTGTAGTTCGATAAGGATTTGAGGGCAAGTTGGTACTCACTTTGATTTCAAGTCTAGTAAGATGACCTCAATAGGCCTTGGTGCCATGGATCGATCCATCTTTGAATGATTTGATTGATTGACATTCACCTTTGAATCATGAATCGGAATGAAGGTCTTGGGATGAAATAGTTATGTAGTAGTCTTGAAGAATTGAGAAAATGTTAAAATCAAAAATCAAATCAAGAACTTCAAACCGATCTTACTACTACTGCTACACACACACACACTTCACAAACCCAAGCAGTAAGCTTCACACTTGACAATCTCAATCTCCCATATCTCACTCTATGTTCTCCTCAAGTTTCAGTTCTTCAAATAAAAAACATTCAAGTTACAATATTTCAAGCTCACTCTATGCTGATCGTTCTCAAATGTAATCAAAGTACCAAGCACTCAACTCTCAAAGATAAGATGATTACATATTTCAATTCCAGCTATAAGATAGAACCAAGCATACATACAAGATCTGATTACAGTTTCTAAATCATCTCAATGCTACATACTTATTATGAACAACCAGGTATCGCTTCACGTGGGCAAGATAAAATCCAATTTCTCAGTTTTTCCTTGGTGCAGAAATAAATCCGAATTTCAAACCCAGTTAGGGGTATTGCTTAGAAGCTTGCGGACAAAGTTGAGTAGGGTGGAAGATCCTGTATCCCTTCCTCGGTCATTAATATGACTGACGATGTTTTTAGTCTTTGAAATGTCAAGCTTTGCCTTAAACACCTTGCTCGTGTCGCAGCAGTATTCCTATTCGAAGAACGGGCTGATCTTGATGTTGAGCTATGAAATCGTATGAACAGAAGAAGTTAACATCATGACGACCCGGAGCTTGATGAAAATGCAGAGCTTGAGGAAAACGCAGAGCTTGAGGATAATGATGAATTTGAGAATGATGATGAACTTGAGGATAATGATGAGCCTGAAGGCGATCTCGAACGTGAGGAAGATGCCCCGCGTGAGATAGATGATGACCTCGAGGACGATGATGAGCCTGAAAGCGATCTCGAACTTGAGGACGATGTTGAGTGTCGGACTGATGATGAGCTTGAGGACGATGATGGCCCTGAAGAAGATGTCAAACTTAAGGACGATGTCGAGCGTCTGACTGATAATGACCTAGAGGATGATGAATTTGATGATTGCAAAGAGCTTGATGATGAAGAGCTTGAAGAAGAGGATGAAGATGATTCATCCTCCGAGTCGGTATCTTCACTTGTAAAACGGTTCGGAACCTCCTCTGATAATGACCCATTCGGATTATTGGCTACGCGTCCTGCTGTTGACAAGGGCTCTCGAGAGATTGAAGAGGAAGAAGATGAGCCTCGTGGTAGTCGGTGCCGACTGATGATTCGATAAAATCGCAAGAAACATGAAAAAAAGAGTTAGAATTGACCGTGGATTGTAAAAATGTTGATCAAAGTACTTTTCATGCAGTACCACTCTGACTCACCAATTAGGACAAGCATCATTTCGATTAAACCATTTAAAGATACATTCAGCATGAAAGAGATGAGCGCATGGAAGAACGATACATTCGACCTTCAACTTGAACTTATCCAAACAAATCAAGCAGACCACTGGTTCTGTGGCTATTCATACATATTCAAACAAACCATCATCGAATCAGATTACGAAAAGAGTCGATGAAAGTCAAAGTGAAGTTTACTGACGCGTTCCACACGGTTTTTGAAGTTCAAAGGTTATCAATTGTGAGAGAGAATGACTCGTAGCTGGTGGCATGACTGTAGGATGATAGTCAATTGGTTCAAATCGCGACTTGTGTATTTGAGGTGGGACTTGTGTGTACTGAATCTGATGCTGAGCTCTTGACTCTTGAGCTCGGTACGATGCCAATGTTCAGGTACCTTCTAACGTTCTGCCAAGCTGTCCAGACAATCAAAGACTTGTGAGAATCAGTATGTAAAAAGGGATGAAGAAAGGCAAATCGTGATCCAGCGAGGGGTACTGGAAGAACCTTCCTTCACTCTCTCATCCAAAACACACAATATAGCATCTCCATTGACATTCCACCAACTCGAATCGGGTAATTTTCCAAAACTCACGCCGCATACATCTTAGTGTAAACAGAAGCAATGTATTCTGAAAGATTCTGAACATATCGCAACAACTCGCTCAAAGAAATTCAAAGACTCTTCAAAATAATCACCCTTCATGAATAAGATTCTGAATGTCTTTCATTTATTGGGTCAATGCAGTCTGTGACAACATACCATGAACAGAAAGTGATAACTTTGATTGCGTAATACAAGAGATTTATGAATGACGAAAAAAAACAAGAAAACAGAGAAAACCAAGGATTGCTTTACTTGGATCCAAGATCATAAATGATTTAATTGAGAATTATACAAAATAATGATAATAGTTTCAGAAGTGACTAAAATAAAGCTGATAGGAGAGAAACTCATTTACAAATTAGATCCTTGATTTAAATAACTTACAGGTAAACTAGGAAAAGATGATAAAGATGAAGGATAAAGTGGAGTATTCAAGTTTATTGTATCATAAGGATAATTATATTCCACAAGCTGAAATTGATTCAAAAGTCCAGAGTTTGAAGTTGATTGGTAAGCTACATTAGGCAGCTCATCTCCGGTCAAAGGCATCATAGAACTTTGAGATAGAAAAGGTTGAACTAAAGGAGGAAAAGAAGTAGGGTCTGGTGAATTGGAGAAGAAACTGAAGGGTTCTAATAAAGTTTGGAAATTGGTAAACGGAGGAGCAGAATGTGAAAGAGATTGTGACATATCCCCAAATGGAATCACACGACTTATGTCCATTGGAGTTGTGAATGGACTAGTCGAAAAGTCACTTAGAGAAGAAGAGTTGGCGTGATGAGGTGTAAAGTCTGAATTCCTGAAACCAACGTCGGAAGATGGCATCGTTGAACCGGTAAAGATACTAGAGTAATCAGTAGTGGTATTCGAATTGTTTAACGTTGACGATTGGTTTCCTCCGACAGCCGATGGTACCAAAGGAGTTGATTGGATTGTAACAGGAGACTTTTCCTGAACCCGTTCTGTTGATGGACCGCTGAAGACTAGAGGTGCCAGAGAAGGCTTCTTAGCTTTGGGTTGACATTCGTGTTCGCGTTCAGCTTGCTTCATGGCATCCAGTTTCGCTTGTTTGGTTGCAGCCATTATCGTTGCTTTTCTCAACTTGTTCATCCTTCTCAATTCTTTTTGAACCTCTACTAGACTTTTTTCAGTCTTGGCATTTTCCACAACAAGATGTTTATGGACAGTGTTCTTGTGTTGCCTAATTAGAAAAGAATGAAGACTTCATCAGTAAAGGAAAGAACTTGTGATCACGTCTACAAGTTAAATAGCTCTCACCTCCAATTGTCTAAGCGAGTGAATGCCTTGAGGCAATGGCATTCAAATGGTTTCTCCTTTGTATGCTTCCTATAAAAGATGAACCAAACAAATTCAGAACGTATGCAAGGTCACATTGCAAACAAGATAACACACCTCTCATGTCGAGCCAGGTGTTCGACACGACTGAATTTCTCAAAACATTCAGCATCTAGTACGCATGCGAATATCTTGGCAGCATTTGGCGAGTTTGGCGATCTCTCGTCGGCGCTTTCGTAGCTCGCAGACCTTTTCCGTTTCACACTCGTAGGGGCCGGGCTTTCTTTTACTTGTTCGGTTGGCAATGACACAGTATTCGAATAATCTTCGACTGACGGAAGTTGATGATGCTCAACCTCTAGAGGTCCAACAGGATTGTTTAAATCCTGAAAAGTGCTTTCCATAAGGTCCGATGGATTGAAGCCAATCAAGTTGAAGGAATTGGTCCAAGCCTCGGTGTTCAAGAGATTGTCGGAAGTTGAAGGTTCCCAATTAGACTGAGTAGGCTGGGTTGGGTAGAGATTTTGAGATGGCGATGCTAGCATGTAGTCGGACAAAGGTAAATAATCCAAGGTGGCCAACTCTGATGAACCTTGACTTCCAATGGAAGAACGCTGAGATTGCGTGTGATCAGACAGCCCACTCAGAAGACTAAGAGCCCAGAAGAAAAGAAGACAATATATCAATAACTTAACACGACCTCAGTGATTGTGTTGTGAGTGACGGGGGACGGTGAAAATACAACTCGTGTTACGGGAATTCAAGTCATGCCTCTTCTCCTCCCTTCAGATGAAAGATTGGCTGATCATGGTCAGGTAACAAGGGACGGACAACTTACGGTTGGTGGTACTGGGGTTCAAGGAACATATCCGGATTAAATTGTGCATTAAAGGACATCTTTGAGCGGTGAACGTTCGGCTGGTGATGGGGATGAGAGGTATGTTTTCAGGGCTTAAGGGATGAAGTAGCGCAGGAAAAGATTTTTAGAGCGTTGCGAAGAGCAGATATTGGAGGAAATGGTTCGAGGTGAGAGTGCAAAAGTAAGAGCGCAAAGACGCCGAGCAAGAAGTTTGTGAGTGTACGAAAGGTGCACAAGCCAAGGTGTGAGGTTTGAAGGATGAGTCTGTTATCCTTCATCACCAGGCAGAGGTCCTTTTGAGTGATTGAGGACACGTTTGCATGACCTTCACCGGTCGAATTCATTAATACGCGCATAAGTCTTTTCTGATGCACGGTGAACTTTTGGCTTTGTAGCGCATGAACCGGACTCAAATGATAGTCCTGCAAATAACGGCAGCTCAAAGATGGCTAAAAGTTAATCAAGAATTCTGCTCGACATTGTGCTCAGACCTTATCAAATGATCAAGTCTTGGTTGATTAACATCAACAAAGACTCAAAACTAAACTCATTGGATTGTTTCCAGGAACGATGGAGATGTGACCGAAATCTAGCGTCTCATCAAAAAACAACTTTCTCATTACCAGATGGGCAGAAAAAAAATTATACCATTGCAATGCGGGCAATTGCAAGAATCCCACATCATTCATTCAAGTACATCGCAACAATCAAGACCTTTGGCTTTCGAACCAAACCACAATTCACTTTGTTTCTTGATGGGTGGTGTTGCAGCTACTTTAAGTCACTCGGCCAAAAAAATGTTGATTGCAAGCTGGTCAAGATTCATAAGGATGAACTATTTATAAACTTTTGACTTGGTCGTGTATTTTGACTACTACATTCCTGTTCTCGCATGAGACAAACAATTCATCGAATTCAACATACTGATACACGCTTAGGAAAACCAAACTAGGACTGTAACACAAGAAAGAGTCATCAAATAAACATAGGATGGATTCAACAATCATTAACCCTCAAAAATAACGATGCAATTCTGATTAAAATGAATAAAAGGGATTGGAGACCCGCTACAATCAATTTTGAAACAAGAGTGTTTTGATCTGACAGTACTAAACGTTGAGTGCTGCTGGCAAGGTTGTCCCGGGTGGACAGCAGGCCTCTTGTTCACACGACTCTTCACATTGAATTAGACACCCATCATCTTCATTTATCTAAATCAAACGTCTCACAATCAGCTACTGGAGAACATATAAGAAAACGTACCCTGAGACTCACATCAATCACAGAACTTGATTTGATCTCTTTAGACTCCTTTTGGGAAGGGAAGATTGATTTGAATTTTTGTTTGAAACTGGACGGGGAAACATTATCAAAGGTAGGTGTTTTAGGTGAGAGCTTGGTACGTAAAGTCTCGATTTGATCATCCAACAAGACCTCTGGCTGAATTGTACTGCTCAAGGCCACGGAAACAAGGGAATGTTCAGTAAATGAAAACGACAGATATATGTATGGAATGGACGATTGTGATATTATAAAGGATCTCTTCAATGTTTACCTTGAATGAATTCCAAATTTGTGAAGACGTTTTCTAATTTGAGAACTAACTCGAGTGAATTCATCATGACTTTTTATCAAGACGTGAACAGATGCGACTGATTTAGATTCGGATAAGCTCCAAATATGGAGCTCTACGAACAGTAAATCAATCTGTCAGGGTAGAAAAACAGGCTACATGAAGAAGAGACAGAATTGACCATGAACTTGTAGTACTCCATCGATAGATTGTATTGATTTCCGGACTTCACTCGTGTCCACATTCGTTGGTGTACCTTGTAATAAAATGAAGCTCGCAGATCTGACTAAGAATCCCAATCGCACATTCCATTAGGTTGTGTTTGCCCGCTTGTAAAAGTAGGGAAAGGATTTGTTGTTATGAATTGCTCACCTAAAGGAAGGGCCGAACAGAAGATGAAGATTGAGATGATCAATGTAACAACCGGATCCACATAGAGCACCCAACGATTGTGAGTTATTCTTCCAGATTCATGTACCACCGGTACGAACCAAATGAGTAATCCACTTAATATCACTCCAACATTCCCTAGAGCATCACCAAGAACGTGTAGAAAGACAGCATGCATATTCATATGTGAATGAGAGGTATGAGTCTGATGTTGATCCATAGTAGAATTCGGATGAGATTCATGCTGATTCAGTTCTGTGTGAATAGGTTGACTAGAAGTTGGGGTTTGGATATGAGGGTACTCTGACTGGAATTCTGGTAAATCAGTTGCCCGGATAGGATTATTTTCTGCATGTGAAGAATGGATACCAACTTCGTCTAGCGGGGTATTTGAGCTCGATTGTTCCCTTAAGGTCTCTTCAGGAGCGGACAATTGCGGCCGGGATGCCATGTCGGATGACGATGTTACGGGCGTGGGTGATGTAGCAACAATCCTTGAAGACTGCCCGGTAATTTCAACAGGAGAGTCTACCTGGAAAGTTTCGCCGTCGGTAACAGCCTTTTCCTTGATAGGTGGATATGAATGGGTATGACCAGCACCTCCGTGAGAATGGCCATGCTCTGATATAATGACGTAGGGAAAGATCAACAAAAATGTTGATGAAGACTAAAAGCTGAGATCAAAAGGCGTACCGTGGAATAAAGCGAGTCCAAGGATATTGAAAGCCAATCCCAAGCTCCCAACAATCACAACTAATTTGGGATTTTGAACCTCTGAGTGAATGAAAATAAATAAGAGATTGTCAGTTACCTCAATATTCAATTACTCCATTTCAAAAACTACATACCAGCAGGTTCGATTGCCTTTTGGATAGCTTGAAGCAAAATTGAAAATGCAAGCGCCAGAAGGAAGACACTATTGACAAGTGCACCTTGAAACAGCCATAATTTCACGTCAATGATTATGAACGGATGGTCTCGAATTTGAGATTCAAAGAAGCTCACCTAATATCTCGGCGCGCTGCCAACCATATGAGTATTTTTCACTTTTCATTCGTCGAGCGAGTTTGATAGTATATAATGCCACGAGAAGAGAAAAGACTGCAAAAAAGCAACTCTGATTGGGCTTAGAGGTTTAGGCAGATTTGAATGATGATTGAAACTCACCATCATTGAGCATCTGTGGCGGTGAGTAAGGTGGAAAAATATCAGTATACGAGGGATCTATCAGGATTGGCGAGAGACGTACGTGAAAGCTATCTGCAACGAGAGCTAAACTTCCGACCCAATGACCAACTGGCAAAAAAGGTTGAGAAGGGACATGAGCAAATGGAATATAGCCAAAAGCAAAGTCAGAGACTGACCGATGAGCTCGACCAAGAAGAAGGCTACATCGATCACGAGCAAGCACTTGATCCTGATAGATCTCGACATGCTATTCACAAGTTCCTATCAAATTCAAGCAATCTGGCTATCTCGTGGTAATCTTGAAGTCGGTCCTACAATCTTGAACTGACGATCCGAGTCTGGAGGTGATTTTCGAAATTTCTTTGGAGAAGGTGGAATAATTTGAGGATATGTCTATCAATTGGATGCTAGAAGGGACAGACGCACAAGAGCTTGATGGTCTTCAATGAAACCTACGAAGCCCACAGGATGATTGTGGAGAAGGATATTCATAGGAAAAGTCTTACAAGTGGATCACGCAAAATGACGCTCAACTTTAGTTGTATAAAAGATCCTCGAGATCTAAGCGAACAGTTCACAAAGGAAACTTTGAAACAGATGCAAAGAGATGAGCCCCTAGTGCTTAGTAGTATTGAACGTTTATTATAGTACCAATTGTTCAACCTTTCTTCATCTTGATAGGATAAGTTCCCTATTTATTCAGACAAACGTAAACACCCTCCTGATTCCAGAGCACTTTGATGTCTTGTTGCCTAACTATATGCATAGAGACCCTAGAGAGTTATAGGATCCGAGGACGGCAAGGTTCTCAAAACTGACTTTACCTGGTTACATAGAGCTTTAACACTAACATGGAGCATTCATTCTCACCAACCTCGTTTCATTTCTATTACGACCGATCCCAAGGTTGCCTTCCAGCCTTCGCTATGGACAACGCTACCATTTTTTCTCAAATCTCAAGTCGTTTTCAATTAGCGCTAGGGCCAAGTTCAGCCGACGTAGTGTAAGGAATATGGGTCTACAACTCAAATAAGTTGCCTTTAAAACGTAGATTGGTGGGAAAACTGCCCGTGGATCATGGACTTAATGACGACAGGTTGTTGCTCTTCAGAAGCTTTGCAGAGGAAGACATAGAGGGCTCTCAAAGCACCGGTGCTCAGAGAAAGGGATTAAGCTCCATATTTCCCATCCTTTGTGAGTTCATATCCCCTGCTGATACATGGACTACATGGAAAGAAGTTCTCTTCAAGATTCCAGAGTCCATGCCCAATCATTTCTGGGCCTGGCTGAGCCTGGCTGAGCAGTGAGCTCATGGCTCTTTATACACGACCCGACTCGAGTGTTCAAGAGCCGGGCTAGGGTGAGTAGAACGGTACTTTGTCATTATCGGTACCGATGAGTGAGTGGTGAAGCGGGAAGAATTGTCCCTCGATGAAGTCTTTATCTAAACCGTCAGGCCATCTGAAGAGTCGATCAGATAAGCTTGATGCTCAATAATTACAACATAAGAGTTCCAATCCTTCCTCAAGATGACTGTCACAAAGCGTAAAGCATCAAGTCGAGAAAACGAGACAAACTCAAGTGGGTGATCACTACGCGTTCAACATTGCCTGGACCCATCGATTTGCTAATTATACCACAACGGTCATTTATCAAACCAAAAACGGATACGTGAGGCTAGATGATACGGCTGGTGTCAAATACACTTGTGACGGTTGTTCAGCCGATATTTCTCATAGCGTTAAGATTCGATGTGCACATCAACAACAAACTCAAACTAATACTATTTCAGGTCAAAATCAAGTCACTTCAACTTTAGTTTGTGAAAATTTCGATCTTTGCGCTCAATGTTTTTGTGAAGGTAAAGAAGTTGGGCGACATAAAGCTTGGCATGATTATCGAGTAGTGGTAAGCTTCAAAAAGAGATATATGAACTACAATAGATTCAAATCATGCTTAAGAAATGGGTTGGCTAATCCTCGAATCTTATTTACTTACAGGAACAATATTCAACACCCATCTTTACTGAAGATTGGGGCGCGGACGAGTAAGCAAACCGATCAAACAAAAATGACATGCTACATTAAGACTCTAAACTTTCAATTCGATTTTGCGATAATCAATCACAACGAACGAATCATCTGCTTTTCAGGGAGCTATTACTCATAGAAGCTTGTCAAACATACGGTCTAGGAAATTGGGCTGATATCGCAGATCATGTTGGGAATGGTCGCACGAAGGAAGAAGTCGAAAAGCACTATATCGAGGTCTTCATCGACTGCGATGACTATCCTCTTCCGGTAAGTCCTATTTCATTGAACGAAGAGGCGAGATTTGATATTTCGACTCCGAGATGATTAATAACCTTCGTGATTGTCAGCTCATGGATGCCAGGATTAACATCGATCAAGACGAGTTTCAAGCGCGAAAAAAACAGAGGCTAGAAGAAGTACAAGCTCGTCCTTTTCGTGAGTTTGGCTGGATCAGCCTTTTGGCTTTTTGACGAGGAAACGCCAGGCGAGAGAGTTGACACCTATGCAATAGAGCCGCCGCCACCGAAACCTTTGGCATCGGGTCCTTCCAACCACGAGATCGCTGGTTTCATGCCTGGTCGCCTCGACTTTGAGACAGAATGGGAAAACGACGCTGAAAATTCGATCAAAGACCTATCTTTCGGTAGGGTTTACCGCTTCGGTGGCGATTCGCAACCAGAGAGAGCCCCAGATCCTGTTCAAGACCCAGGAGGACTCGATGATGAATCTGCTCCCGTTGAGGGTATCAACAGCGCTTCGGAATGCCATTCTACGACAGAAGGAGGCGGCTCAGCTGATGTCAAGCAGAAAAGAGGACTTGGAACGGGAGCAGGCAAAGTAACTCAGAGAAAGGACGAAACTGTGAACCCCTTGGAAGACATCGTAGAGACTGTTGGGGATGAGTCCAATCTTGAAGCTACCGTTTTACCTCCCATAGAGTCCACAATGCATTCATCATCCGAGGAAGCCACCCAACCCACCCCATCTGGCCCACAACCTAAACCCAAAGGAAAAGAAAAGGAAGTGAAGAAAGTCGAAGAAGAAACTGAAACTGAGGAAGAAGCCGCACCGCCCATACACGATGAGAATGATGATGACTTGGAGCTAAAGTTGACAATACTGGATATCTATAATGAAAGATATGATAAACGATTAGAAGCAAAAGCGGTTGTGTTTGATCGAAATCTTTTGGAAACCAAAAAGGTAAGACATTTGATCAAACAACATGACTTTTCAATGAGACTGAATCACACAATCTTTCACACGACCAGATTCAAGCTACAGAAAAGAAAATGGCTAGAGATGTTAGAGATTTGGTAACAAGAATTAAGCCGTTTGCTCGGTTACAGACTGCTCTCGATCACGAAAGGTTTCAAGAGGGACTGATATGTATGTTCCCTTAGTCATTTCTTCTTTCCCGAACGATACGTGTCGAAAGTTGGGCGTAAGACTAATGGGATGCGCTTTATCAGACGAGATGTCACTTCGGAAGCGAATAGCTGAACTGCAAGAATATCGGCGGATGGGCATCACGACCCTCGCAGAGGCAGAGAGGTTCGACAAGGAGAAACAATCTAGGGTATGTTCACCTTATCCAACATTCCAGAGGAGTTTGATTACGAAATATGTAAACCATGGGCGACCTTCATTACAGATCTCGAACAAAATCCGAGAATTTGGTGGGGTAGAGCGCTCAAACGGTCGCACCAAAAACAGAGCGAGCGGGTCTGCACCCTTCTATGACGAGCTCGCGTCAGGAAGTCGTGAAGGAACGCCCGGATTCACCAGCAAAACTTACAAAAAACTCAGTAAGCTATCTCCTCAATCCCCAAGAGTGCCCCTCACGATGAGCAGACTTTGCTCATCTCACTACCCACCATTATTTGTTTAGCTCCTCTTCCTTTGAGTCTGGCAACGTCTGCATCACAGCAACTGTTACATTGTTCGGAATTGGCCCTTTGTTCTCGATTACGGGTCTTACCTAAACCATTCCTATACTTAAAAGAGCTTCTCTTTCGAGAATATGTGCGCTTTGCAGCAATGGGCCAGACGCTTAAACGATCTGATGTATCCAACTTACTCTCACTCGCCCCTACGATCGACGAGGATGCTCTGGAACTGGAGTTAGAGAGCATCCCAAACAATGAAGGTGACCTTTGTATCGATGGGATCGGGATAATCAAGGCAGAGGAAATGCAGCAACAGCAGCAGGTTGTTGAGTCGGGTGAGACGAAGGCTAAATGGACAAAGTTGGAAGCAATGTGGGATTTTTACTTTGGAGCTGATAATGACGAAGCGGAGGAGCAAGATGAATCTTGCGGTGTGGATGTACCTTTAGCGGCAGTATCGACACATCCTTGATTTGGCTTTGTGTCTTGGAAGAGTTTAAATTTGGTGATTACTTGATTTGTTGATTTGTTCATTTGTGTGTTTTTGCAGAGCAGCGTGTTTGTTAATATGGCATTGTATTTTGAAGCAAGCGTTGCAAATGTACAATATTCCTGTGATGATGGCCCCCTTGAATTCACGAAGAACATTTTTTCTTCCCTAGGGAGGTCTCTGATTTCAGATGAAATGGCCTGAAGCAACATACATCCTTGCTTCATGCTTCTCTTAAATGATGAAGCTCAGTGATCGCATACAATCCGTGTCCATGCATGACCATGATTGTCTTTAATCAAGCTGAGCCAGGTAAACAATCATACACATCATCCAAGCAATACGGAGTATACATACTTGCCACCTTACAAAGTTGACTCAGGATTCTGCAAAGTGGAAATAGCGCCACGTACGAGATGTTCCTTCATCGGTTTATATAACCAAAAAAAATCCATACGGCCTGGTCAGGTGAATGTGCTAGCGCATGAGGCAAATTGAGAAAGGGTGGACTTGGAAAATGGTGGGGACAATGCAGGCCCCTGAGGCTGAACCACTCATGGCCTACCACTACCAAGCTTGTAAATTACTTCAAGAAGCTGCTAATGAGACTGGACATTCAGAACACGCTCATGAACTTCTCAACAGTGGCTTTTGCTGTTGGACTCTGCAGCGTTTGGCTTGTTGGAATTACGCTCACCGAATGAAAACTTTTTCGATTTCGTTGGCATATGTTCACAATTCGAACCCTCTCCGTCAGCAGGGAATGTGCTATTCCTCAACCCCGAGGCTCTTTTTAATGAGAAATGAATCTTCGTCATTTAAGAAACCAAAAATAATCGTGACCGGTAGGTGATAGCGGTGTTTTCTTTGCTTGATTCATTCATTCTTGTTGCTCTATACATGACGATCGAAGCGCAGCAGTTGTTTATGATCGAGCTTAAAGCCAGGAATACAAAAACAAGAAGGTACCAGCGTATTGCAACGAAAGCAATTTTTTCTACGAAATAGTTTATATAAGTTTGAACTTGGTAAATTCGAGTGAATCAAAGAAGAATAAAACACAAGTCAAAGAAAAAAAGTTTAGGTGATTAAAAAAAAGTTTTCAGTCTTTTTTCTTATTTGAGTTGTTTTAAGGTGTTTTGTTTCATGGATTAGTTGTAGATAGCTGAGTTAAGAAGACTTCAAGGTCGAACAATGGACTATCGGGATCTGTGACGGCTATGATCGGAATGATCAAAATGAGTTTCTTATGCACAGAACAGAGACAGATCCAATAGAAGACTTACCACTTGATTGACCAGAAGTTTGTAGTTGACGTCGTTGCCAAGCTTGTTTAGCTTGATCTACCCATGCTTCCCTTTTATGAACTTCCTCTGAGTATCGATGACTGTTTTCTCTAGATTGTAAAGTTCTTCGATGTAGGATTCCATAAAGTACTCCAAAAGTCAAAGCCGAATACCGAAACACCTACAAGAAATCCAAGAAAAAACAAACAAGTTGTAGGGTTAGTCGCAGTACCAAGAATAATCACGGATTTCATTACGAAGGTTTTCGAATGAGAGTAAGCTTTCGTTCTTCATGATGAGTTGAGCTCAAAAATGACTTTAGGGAGCTTGATCCAGTCATATTTTCTAGAGTGAGATTCGAAAGTAAGATTGACTCACATTGACCGCTGCAGTAGGTGCCATGATGAGAAAAGGGAAGTTATGTTTGAGTTTGAAGTGTTCTTGAGTTGTTGATCGGTCAATGAGCCTTTTTCACTTCAGTTGACTCTCTCCTCAATCGATTTACAAAATACTCGAATCAGATAGCTTGCCACTACCCGAAAGCTATCCCCAATCACAAACTGATCGGGTTGATCGGTACAGATCGGTCAAATTCGGATCTAAACAAGTTTAACGCGCATACATTTGTGACATTTCAACCCTCAAGTTTTGAATGTAAGCTTTGCTCTTCAGAAAATTTGGTTACCAGACATGTGTTAACTGCATTGTAGACATATGTGGTTGATACTATCTTATTTCACTCTGACATCACACCAGATCTCATCTGTAAAAGTATATGAAGTCAAAGAGAACAAGAATGTTGCATAAGGCTGAATTGAGGCCATCAGCTGCTGGTGGCCTGTGTTGCAATTTGCCTTAGATCATATTGCTCATGGTAAGACCATGAAGATGCATTCATTTCTAAGTCAAGGTGAAAGTTTTATTTCCAAAGACCTGGGGTCACTTACTCCTTCATGAAATTCAACAATGTATTGATGTCAAGGCAGGTGAAAACCAGGCATGAAGATGTGAGAGTCTAGAAGTAACTTGACAAAAATAAAAGTTGACTGCACTTTTGGCATCAAGATGTGAGGTCAATTGAGCACAGTGGCCCCCAAGATCTCAACTACCCATGAGTTTACCGAACAATCACCACTCATCAATGTATCTGCTGACAATTATGATGCTGTTGCAAGATATTCAATTTCTGGGCATCTTATTCTGAAAACGCATAGGTAGATCTTTGATGGGAGGAAACAGAGATCAAGGTAAAACATCAATCAATGGAAACTTACTTTCATGAATTTACTCTCACAATTGCATCCACACTCTACCCTGACTTCCAACCTTCAAAAAACAAACGTCCTCTACTCAAGGTTTTCAGGAAGACTTTTTTCCAAGATTGTATGATTGGCTTGAAAGATCACAGGGGGTGGAATAATTATATGATAAGCCTTGGGATGTGGGGAAAAGTCACATAACATCATGTAAGCTGCAATGGATTTCAAGGCGGAGAGAGATTGATATAGAGGATCCAAATTGCATTATCTACCTGCGTTGATTGCACTTCAAAAGAACGTGATGATCCGTAAAGGATACGACAACTTTTCGGGGAGATGACTACTGACAGAGCACTCCAAGATGAGGGCTGGATGGGAAAAAATTACACATCAAAAATATTTACTGTGATAAAGCCGGGAATTCAATAAAAACAAAATTCAGTTTACACACATTGCGGGTAACCATACTAAGGATATGAATACATTTTAGTAATCCGGAAAAAGACGGGTATCCAATCCCTTCATCTCGGATTCTCAGAGGCTTATCGAAGATCAAGCTTTGTTCCAGATTTTTGAGACCAGATCCGCAATCAAGAATGACGAAAGATCTTCAACCCGCCCCAATTAACAATCACAAATACCAATCCAAGTGTAAACTGAAGTGGGAAAAGATATTTGTAATGATTATCAGTCGAGAATTTTTCGATCCAGTTTGATGTAGATGATGAAGATGAAGATGATCGGCCGTTAGGAGGAGTTAAAAGTATGCAGAATCCGAAAATCCATAGAGTCGCAGAGGTGATTAGTAATAAGATCCCCACAGTCATCATCGAGGGGAGTGGTGCAGCCTGTGAGGGTTCGTTAGATACTTGTTCTTGATGGATATCACCAGACCTAGGAGGACCCTCAGTCTTGTCATATATCTCGTCAGGCTGAAGTGTGAGGTTGTCTCCGGATGATAGTCGTTTTTGAGCAGTTCGGTCTGGAGAAGCGGAACGTGATAGAGAGGCATCGATGAATGGTGTCGATGCTGGTCCGATGTGTCTATGAGTAAGATGAGAATGAGGTCTTGCAGCAGGGGGCATGATCGATCGAGTTGCTTCGCAATCGCGTTTTGTTTGTTTCAGTCTTGGTGATTTTTCTCAAACCTTTGTGCACAAGTTCGGAGTGGGTACCCGGTATAGGGATCATGACAGCACATATGCTTGTACCGAGTACCAACCTCTTTCACCTCGCGATTTGCGCAAAGCACCTGCCGTGACCTCTGCAATCTCATCTGATCTGACAAATTGCGAAGTTCCATTGATCAACCTGGAATTGACCATACGAACTTGGTAAGAAACAGCTTTCTTGCCTTCCCTAACCTTTCCAGTCCCTTAATGATGCTACTGCCGGGGCCAGATGAACGCATTAAACTTGAAACAATTTCTGTTTGAATGCTTCTTGACTAAAAAAACCGGTCATACAAAATCTTAATGGTTTTGCTTCTCAAACGTTCTGATACTTACACCTCTTCTTGCTTTCTTTTTCTCTCTTTCTCAAGTTGCGTCTATGATAGTTTTTGCTGACTTTTATTTGATTCGTCTACCTTTTTTCTGACCAATTCAAAGTTCCAGAGCAATGGGCATATCATGACCATAGACGATAGGGCTTGGAAGAACATATCCTTTGAATCAAACAATCTGTGCAACTATAAAACTCTCAAAAAGATATTCTTCTTGATATATTCAGGATCCAATAATTCGACGGGCAAGCTCCGTCCATCATTCAAAACATGAAAGATTTGTTCCCTGATTTTAGTCCCATCAGTCCATGATGCACTGGTATCAAGTGGTTTAGCACATTCCTCATATGACCAGAAGCTAAAGCTCGAGCTGACTATGTCACCCAGAAAAACTCGAAACGTACCCCTTCTGTAACAACTAATCATTCAAGATGTCTCTGACCATGTGTGTGTGCAAACATGTGACCGGCAACTCATCTCTGCAGTTGCACCATGCGTCTAAAAAACTCCACACTCTTTCCAAATAGTCACTTGTGCATCAACAGACTATCTGAGTGTGTTTCAACATCATCTGATACATAAAACTTTTCATCAATCTTTTGTCTAATTATATGGTCTCACATGCATCAAAGAAGCTCCCTCTTAGCTATGACAGATTCAGCGTAAATGAACAAACAGGGTGGGCGCAGGAACTGCAGTGTGGAATCAAGATGGTTTTGAAAGTGTAGAGATAATGGGAAGACATGTCTGTTGTTTGCTCCAGACAGCTGTTTCAACGAGCCTTTGTGATCTCAAGAATGAAGGAAAGTCTGACTACTTGTTGCTTTCACCTTTTCTCTTATGCTAGGTGTTTCATGCCCGCATTGGCAATCGACATTCTCCTTTTTCCTTTGAAGGTCAGACCTTTGGCCGTATCGCGCGAAGTTGATCTTAAAAAATATCACCTACATCAGTTGAATGGTATGATAACCTTCAGTGTCCGCTGTGGAGCCCTCCGCCCCACACGCTATGTTTTCCAAAGGTCTCATCTCTTCCCGGTTACATGAGTCTCCGCCCTCAGGCAGGACTTGTCGGGGACCAACACAAGCCGAAACGTTTAACTTCAAGTTCCGTCAAGGGATGCTCGGAAAAACATATTTCTCGTTAAGAACGGCCAAAGCTCGATTTCCAGGCGGTCCAGGTGAGACATAAAATCCTCTTGACCGTCCTAAACTTGCCGTAGTTTCTGATCGCTCCTTTTGAAGTTCGAAGTCTCTTAACTGTTTAACATCTCACAATCATTCATTACACGCTCATTTACTCATCACCATGATCACCAGCACCAATGTGCTCCTGCGCTCTATGATATATAGCTCTATGTGGCTTTTTTCACTTCATACAACCATTGCACCTTCGCCTGGAGCCGTTTTTGATTCCGCCTATGATAGCTCCTCAGGGATTGCTGGGACCCGAGATGTGAGCGCTGTGACGTCTACGATAGAGACATCTGGAGCAAGATTCTCACATCCTCAGCCTTGTCGGCGAAGTATGGATGGCTGCCTTCTTGCTACCGGTCATCACATGCCCTCAACTGGAACGTCACCAGCATCTGATGCTAGTCGAACTTCCGAAGAATCCAGAATCACTCAAACTTTAGCACCACCCAAGTCATGGAAGACCTCCGCAGCGCTCAACTTGCGCCGCTTGGAAGGAAAAGCTCTGATGGGCTTCTTTCCAAAAATAAGAGACGATTGGAATCTTGGTGAGCCCTCTTGATCAACTCTATTGCAAAAGGCAGAACCATCACAAGTTGGAAGATGCTCTTGCCCTTAAAGCTTACTTAGTATTGTATTTGTTTATCATCAGCATATGCGGCTTATGAAGAGGTCCTCGCTGGGGCTGTCAGGTGGAAAGCTGATTGGGTAGACACTGAGGGTCTGGCCGCGACACTGGCCGATATGAGCACCACAAGACAACGCTCCACAAACATCCTTGGACTGAGTCCAGAGGTGAAAAACTATATCTCGCAAGAAAGGCTTCCGCAGTTGTACCAAAAACTCCAAAGCACCCTCCAAGAGGAATTGGACCACCTCTCAGAGAATGGAGGACTAAAAAGAGACATCGACTCTAAAATTGCGATTTTGAACCATTTGTTCAAATTGGAACTTGGAGACCCAGAACTGGGACCGTATCTCGACCCCCTAGAACGCAAGCTGTCCTCCCTGAACGAGCAACACGCGCCTACGCCAGAAACGGAGATCCCTGAGACCTTATCAACTGCGAAGATCCCGCCTCGCCTTTCTTTCTCGGCTTTCACCAGACTTCGAGAACAAGCACCAAAAGCACCAAACTCCGAAAGGATCTGGGCCAAGATTAATTGTAAGATTGATTTTTGTTGATTTTCTCTCATTCTTTACTTTATGACTCGCGTTCAAAAGTTAGCAAGAATTCAAGCAGCTTAGTTTCTTGATCAAATATTTCCACCAGATCAATTTGAAGCAGAGAAGAACCACCTCGAGTATCTGAGAGGCCTCAATAGGCCAATACTCGGAGAATGGACTAGCATAAAACAGCTCACTACAGACTTCATAGCGAAGGCCGGAGGATCAGCCTGGATTGGACCCAAATTCTACCCACAGAAGCTCAAAGTTTCCGAATACAAAACACTTCAAGAAATCAATCTACAGCGCAGAGCTCTTATCGAACACGCTACTCGTGTGGCCGCACGCCCTCTACACGACACCAGACTGAGTTCCGAAGAAATGAAACTTCTCCGGCAGATCGAATTGGAAACTCTGATGATAGAAGGTGGTTCTGAACATTCAGACGAAGTCAGGGAAATACTCGCAGGTTTGGTTAATGGCGGCAATCAAGAGGCGATAGCTTTCCTACGTCAAGTAGACATCGAGCGAGACTCTACGTCGAACGTGCCAGAGCAAGCAGGCGGTTTGGACTCTTTGAGGTACAAAGAAGGTATGCCTATTTTATCGAGAAACCAAGCAGCTGCCTCGTTACCAGCCGTTTCCATCTCACAAGGGACGTAGGGTGGGATTTTAAAGCGGCAAACTGTTTCTCCAATCCCGAGTGCGGAGGTTACGTCACGACCAGTTATGATACATTTCAAGATGCATGGTCCCTATCAGAAGGGGTGACCCATAATTTCAAAGTAGAAGACACAATGCAATCCTATAAAACAATTAATTTGGTCTGCTTCTGTTCAAGACCAATTATTGAAAAATGATTTGAATAGAGTTACAGATCTCTCCCTTATAAAACAATCACTGCATAGACTATCATGTTCCAAACAGAAGACAGGAGGTTTCCTACAAGTAGTGAATTTGATTTGTTTCACTGCAGTGTCAAATTTGTAAATGACATGAATGTCCCTTGGTTATTCTTTGCATCCTGTGAAACTAGGAGTCCAATTTCCAAGCACTTGTAGATTGCCCATCTTTGTAAGTTGGAGTCATCCATGAAATTGACACTCCTTTTGGCAAACATGATGCAATATGTGGAGCCTCTGGTGTACCATTACCAACCTGGATGGAGTGACTTCTTCCGCCAAGTAATACTTTTGAAACACCCAGAGACCTATGGTAAAATCAGACTTCCAATCACTAGTTTCAAAAATCAAACCTTGATAAGGAAGTAAAATTACTAAGGAGGATATGAATGACATTGGGTACTCAGACTCCAGAGATTTGATGTGTGGATTGGTCATCAAGCCAACTATCAGGCTGGCTGGGTAAGTGATGACCACAGGAAAGGGGAAGCCAATCATTCAGATTGAGGCTTGTGTGTATACTGATATACTGAGGGCCATGTTATCTTGCTTAAATTTTGGAATGAATCCTTGCGTGGGCTGGGATGTGATCAACAACAAACAATGGAGTGACTTCTCCTAACCTGCCAAAGTTTCAGCTTTATCATATTTCAATCTATGTTTCATCCTAGGGTATTTAAAAGGCTTTACAGCCACATTGTCAAGTGTACATATTTTTTGTACCAACAAATGAGGTATGTCTGAAGCGCGAAGACAAGCTATCTACATACATGCAACCATACCAGCTCCAGCCTTTTACTTTGAGAATTTACCATGTGTTAAGGCAGGTTAAAACAGTTTTCTGCATCACAAAAGGTACATGATTGCCAGTGCTTTTAAACACACAAAATTTTGTTGTCATACCATCTTCAATGACTGAGATATCTGTATGTGACTCCCAAACACACCCCAATATAGAGTTCAGAAGCTCTTGGACTTTGAAATCAAACACAATTTTGCACTTCTGTTGAAACCAGATATGGCACCAAGATGTGTGCTATGGGAAAGCCTTTGTCTTTGTGCATCTTGTGTGCATGTGACATACCTAGTTATCCTGTTCTGCATGGTTTCACAAGATTGTAAGATCTGGAAACTTTGAAAGCTTGGTATTTTCTCTAAGTGGATTGAAGGGTCTGAGGGTGCTATACTAGCAATCAGGAATTGAAATGAGTTAAAGCCACAAATCTTGTTATGTACACTTCATGGACTCTAATGCTTTTGTATGATCAATTCTGTAATTGTGTCAATATTTCAAAGAAATATTTGGCATGGGAAGTGCACTGTATTTGATCAAAAATCAATACAGTGGGTTTAAAAACGCTTGACACAAATGTTTTGTCAAGCAGGGGCCCAAGCCAGGTGGTTGGGTGTTTTCAATCAAAAGTGGTGACAAAGCAAAACCAGCTTCAAAAAAAAGTAAGGAGGGATTGGGAAAGTATGCTACCTGTACGCAGTATCCAGGGTTGATGCTGTATTGGCTCAGTTTGATTTGGAGAATCTCTAGATTGCCATCCAATTGTAGTTAAAAATTCTCAACCATAAAGCTTGGGCCCCTAGTGTAACAAAAAATTGTGACAAACATCTTCAAAACTACTGTACATTTCTTTGATCCTTGGTGGATCATTATCTCATTTATGTGCTCAAGCTTGAAGCTCCCTTGTATTTCCCATTGGGTGATTCATGATTTGACCTTTTCACCCATTTCCAGAACATACAGGCTTCAAGTGGGGTCACCACTCAGAAACAGGTGAAAAAGACCACCTGCAGATCACCCAAAAGTAGTAGTCACACTAGTGCTACAATGAAGGTACTTGAATTTCAAACACATGTGGTAGGTTTTGGCTATCATATATTGTCATTTTTATTGGGATTTTATTGAGCCACTCAAACATTAAGGTGAACATTGATTTTTGGCATGGTACAGCTCACTTCTCAGGCCAAGGATCTCTCTTTAGGGGAAAGTTCCTTGCTTGAGGCTTTGCAAGGAGCAAGTGATTTAGTTGTGTCTGGGGGTGGATGGCTGGGCCTCAAGTACATTGGTACCATGGTCAGAATGAGAATAATAACTGCTCAACTATGCCATCCAAGCCCAATCCTTTGGGTTTGATCTGTAAAAGAATAATGGATGTTAGATCATCTCCACCATTGGTGTGGCAATAAGATGCTTTTGGTTGTCTGTACATACATTGGCTATTGAACAGGTCATATCCTGTATTAAAAATTTAGCCAGAGGTCAAAAAGACTGTGGCTGTTTGAACACAGGTTGAACACAATGATTTTCCAATTTGTGAAGGTGAAAGAAATTGAGGGAGATATCTTGTATAATTGTTCCAAAACAAGAGTAAGGCAGGCCAATATGTCCCAGAAATTCCCCTATTGAGGGTTATAATGTAAATTGCAATGTTTTTGTTTGCAACTCTGGTCAGATCCCAAAAAACAACAAGATTCTGATGTTTTTTGTCACATCCAATAAAAGGAGACCCTAAGCTAACAACGATATCCCTCAGTCCATTAAAGAGGGAGGGACCTGTTGCTGATACTAGAGATAGCAAGATGTGGCAGATGTTGGTACTGGTTTGGGACTACCCAAAACTTGATTCTGTGGTAAGAGATCAAAGTGAAAATCTTTACTTCAGCCACTCCCATCTTCCCTTACCTCTAGACTCACATCCCCCAACTAATTAGGTTGTTTTTAAACAAGACTTTATTGCTATAACTTTTTTTAGAGCTCCCTTTTTCTTTTTTCCCTGCTCACATCCTGGATGAGAAGACCCCACAGGTTTATTACAATTGCCACAGAAGGCAGACCCAGATTGAGTGGAATAGTCTAGTATTGCTATAACCAGGCACCCATCCCTGGGCTACCTCCACACCCCTGTTAGTACAGTCGTTTTCAAAAAGGATGAAAAGACAATCACAAAAACTTGGTCATGTGGTCCGTGCGCGCGGCGGATGTTGCCGGAATGTGGGTGAATCCCGACAGCCACATACCGCCAATACAGCCCACCCATAGTGCTTTTTTGGCCTTACAAACAACTTCAATTCGGTGTTTTGACCTGGTAGTTATATTGTTGATGGCACTATGGCAAGAAGCCGCTGCCATGACGAACGTGTCCTGCTTGGGAAGCGTGTTCGAAACGGCTGCGTGGTCTTTACTTTTACGGTCTCGGCATATCTTCAAATGACATAAGTTTTTGCTTGTGAGGAAGTTTTCATCAGTTTATTGCCGCTCAGGTATAGCAAAAATAACCATTTTTAGATGATGATTGTGGTGTTAGCACATTCACATCAATTGTCCTAAGGCCATCCCCAAAACTCGGCAAAACAGAGGCCCTTTCGAGGCTCGAACCGCCTCAGCCGCTGCAATACTTCTTTGCCATACCGTTCGACAATATCAACTTTTCAAAGGATCCTCAAAGTCAGGCTATATCGAACAATCATAAAGCTACAGTTCGAGATTTGTAGACTGTATGAGAATATTGCCAATATATGGCTGTTGGGATTCACCCACATTCCGGCAACATCCGCCGCGCGCACGGACCACATGACCAAGTTTTTGTGATTGTCTTTTCATCCTTTTTGAAAACGACTGTACTATAGTTAAACAAAGACTTGAAATTTAAGTTTGACAAAATGAGGCAGAGGTTGTAGTAACCTAATAAAGGTTTTTTATCTTTATGCTATGTAATGAGTTTGAATAGTATGATAACTATTCTGTTCATTTGATGAGGAGAAGGTCATCATGAAACCTTCTCACTGTTGTGGTAATAGTATACCACAACCAAAACCTCCCCTCATAGGGGTGGATGGTTTAGGCAGGATTCAGCCATATCTGGACCCAGATATGCACAAGCTTGGGTCTGGCATACTACTAGTACAAGCCAAATTGGCTGATTATCAGAATTCACATTAAGCATCAAATTGGGAGGTTATTGTGCAAAACATTTTTTCATACCAAGTATGTAATTTAATAGAGACTGTGGTTCAACAAAGAGCGTGATTTAAGAAAGAATATGCAGCTATTGTATGTACAAGATGGAATGTCTGAGACACATGAAACATTGGCAAAAGGAGAAAATCACTTTGTTTTCGATTGAGATAAGAAATTTGCCAACAAATTGCTTCATGTTCAAAGCTTGAGCTGTGATGGTGTCCATGATAAAGCCTGCCAAATTGATCTTTATGTGCATCTTCCACCAATGCCAACATGCAGCACCAGATGGAGTTCCTGAAAATTTCTTTATGAAACCTGCTACATATAGCCTTTGAGCATACACTGGTGGTGCAGCAGCAATAAAACCAGGCTGTGAAAACTCTGATTGCAACAGTTGTGATATTCCTAGAGTTTTAAGGTGACATCTCATGACTTAACTTTTCTTTTCACATTATTTCAATTTATATCCACATAGTGAGACCTAGCTGACCTGTCCCCAAACCAAAATTGATTCAAAAACCAACCTTTAGAGCACCCACTATCATGAGGGTGATCTATCGTAAATTTTGCGTTCCTGAGCGCAAAATTTGATCATGAGTGTTTTACCAAAAATGGTAACCACATGAAATCCACTATTGGATGATTTACTGTCTGTTTTACCTGGTTCCTACGATAAAGCAGGGTTTAAGCTTTCGTAGATTTGAACAAGCGCAACACAAAATTTGATGCAGTTGTAGGGACCGCAAGTGTAAAACAGGCCCATAGTGGACCTGTGTGTAACTTAGCGGTAAAGCTACAATAAATCACCTCGTTACCGCAACCATAGTGGGTGCTCTTAGGCCACAAATGCCAAATTTTTGCCAGATATTAGGGGGGTTCAAGTCAAGAAATTTACGGTATTTTACAGTCCAACAAGTTGTCCAAATGTTGAAAATATACTGTAAATTTAAAAAAATCAGGACACCTTTTTAGGCATCCCGAATGC